CAGATAGCAATTTTGTCTGTGAGACGTCAATTGAGCACCATTGCAACAGGTATTCAACTGCTTTGGTGCTGTGGACTGTAGATACATTCGGAGCCTTTCAGCGCAGAGATGCACAACCGCGGATCCAAAGCATGGAGTGCGATATTCATTTACAGTGGGACAAACCCTAAGACATGCAGTACTTACTTGCCCGTGTGTTTGGGATCATTACAGACAATGGGGCAATCGCAATGTATTGCTATACATGGGTGAAAATGGACAGTGAAGCCGCAGTCGGAAGGTAATAGACGATCAATGATGTATGTAGTTGTGTAGTCACTGGTGCATATCAATGGATCTTACGTTTGAATTGTTGTCTGCCAACAGTGTCCATGCCTTTGAGATTCTGGAGAGAGGGAGCCTACTGAAGAAGAGATGCTTGGGAGAACTTTGACACTCTATGCCTAGCCACATAAGACATAGCCATTTTTATGTGTTCGTTCCGATAGCAATATGTCTAAAACATGTGGCACCTAGTGGCTACAACTCTGCCTAGATTTGTCACGGGTGGGTCAAATTGTGTGGATTCCATGTAATATGTCATACTTGACAGAATTTGTTATGGATTCAAATTGTGTGAATTTCATATATATATATATATAATTATATATATATAATTATACAATATTATCTACTTGAAACATAGGTTGACATTGGCAGCACTCCAAGCTGGGAAACTCTCACCTGACATAATAAGTGTGAATAGATTGAAACCCTGCTACTTTGCAAACAGCAAAATCGATGGCGAATGGATGTTCCTCCCCCATTCCCATGGCATCATGTCGCACTCACAAGCCACGACTTCCTATCTGGCCACAGCAGCCTCTCCACTGCCCTCTCTGCTGTGCTATGTACAGGAATGAGCGTCACCAACCTGAGCAAAATGAGGGGGATCTCGGTGGTGAGCCAAGTGCGGCTTTTTTCAAGTCGCATCTCTTCAAAACAACCCCGCTCTGACCCAACTGGTGCGTCATGCTTCAAGATACATTAAGTATGTATCCTCAATGAACATCCCAAATTCTTATCACCCGGCATCCCCCATTATTGTGCTTAAATTCCCCCGGTACGGTTCACAGTTGAATCTCATGGAACATCCACCGGGGGTTGTCTGAAAATAGGTTATCCTCCAATTTGATGATTGATCATCATGTCTATTGAAATGGCCATATTGCGGGCCCATGCCCAATTGTTGGGCAAACACACATGTTATCTGTTCCATACCCTTGTGGTGGCAGGTGGGGGGGGTTGGACCAAAAAAAAATCAAGGACCTCAACTTGGTGAACCAATCACCACGAGTGCTGGAAATAAAATTAAGGAGCCAACTCCACCTGACCACACCAACATCAGCAAAAATAGAATCAAGGATTGTCAAAAATAATATCAACAGGTCCCCAAGGCTACCTCCAAATCTTCCCTGTTCAAGGCTGCCCTTACTCCCCATCCATCATCTCATCGCGCAATTTCTTTTTTGCAATGATTGTGTTGCGATCCCAATAAAAAATTAGCTGGGAGGGGTTGATTTTATCGAACAAGTCCTTTGAAGTCAGCTGACTTTTGCTTGGGAAGGTTTGGATTTGCAGGTGTGTGATTTCCTGACCCATGCCCGAATGCCCGACCATGCATTTCAAGGAAAAGAACTAATTTTTATCCAGAAACATTTGCAAATACACACACATATATGGGGGTGGGTCAAAACCTATTATGATCAATTCTAGTGGGATGAACATCCATATAAATCCCAGCTATTTTGGGCTTCACAAGGTACCAGGCTTTTGACCCATAGCCATATATATATATACACGTTTACAGAACATATTCAAACATGTATATAGATGTAAGTATGTATGTATATATATATATATGCATGCTTTTGTTCAAAAATATTTGAGTATATTCTTGCAGGTGCTCAACCCTTGGACCAGGGCATGGTTCAAGTTAGTTGGGAGGGTTTGATTGCATAACAACAGCTCGGCCCAGCAAATCCATGATTGTGGATATCGCTGCACTTTTAGCTATCAACTAATCTTTACTTGGGATGACGACAGTCGATCGGGGGTTGGATTTGTTGATATGTGGTTGTCTAGCCTATGGCCCCAGCATGTACATGTGAGTTTTTAGATGTTCTTGAAACCTATGTTTTTGACATTGGGTAAGGGCAGCGCACGCCAGACTCTCTCTATTGCTTCCAAAAATTATACATATACAGGTATTACCGTATTTCCTAAAAGAAGCGTCCCACCCTATTGCCCATACAACGGCAGAACATCTTGCAACCCACATCACAAGGCCCTTAAACAAAATAAAATCTATGGGACTCAACCCACCATGAACACCTGTTCCAAAAATATGTTCAAGAATATTCAGGCTGCCTCATGATTTTAGTTATATGATGATTAAAACAAATATGTATGTATATAGTTAGTATACCCAATAATAAACCATCCCCAAAATCGCCATTTCTACGGGTGGTATTCAAACATGATTTTTTTTTAACATCCCCAGTCATGGTAGGTTTATGGCAGCCAGGGTGGCCTGGCTAATTTCATATCCCATAGCTCGTTTAGTCCCCATAGTTAGCTGGTTGGTGGTATACCTACCCCTCTGAAAAATATGAGTTCGTCAGTTGGGATTATGAAAGTCCCAATTTTTCTGGCAAGTCATAAAATTCCATGGTTCCAGTCAGCACCAACCAGATATACATAAAACATTTATGACATTTACTCATCTAGAGCTCCAACCAGTTAGAGTTCATTGAATTCCATCCAAAATGTCCATTTAAGTGGTGAACTCCCGACTGAACTCCCAGGAATCTCGTTGGTTGATGTGTTTCCCTTCGAATGGCTTATCACAATCCCATATAATCTGCAATAAATTAGGTAACTTCAACATCCCAAGTATCCCCAAGTAGCCTCTGGTAAACTAAGATTGCAATATTTAGCAATGGAAATCACCATCTTTAATAGGAAAATCATCTATATATGGGCAATTTTATGGGCAATTTTCAATAGCTATCTTAAATATAAATGGGCAATGTTCAATAGCTATCTTAAATTACCAGAGAGTGTCGTCCATGAATCCCCACCATACCATCACCCGCGCCTATCCAGCCACCACAGGAGTGACCTCGTCCAGTTGGAGGCCGCCTTTCAGATGAGCCTGCGGCTGAGGGTGCGTTGCGTTGCAAAAACAGGTGGAAAAACAGGTGGAAAAACCAAGAAAACGATGGACAATGATGGGAAATCACATGAAATCACGAAGAAAACTAGAGGTTCAACCAAGAGAAACAAGCAATTTACAACAATTTCGTGCAGCTGGGGTGATTTTGATTGGTTTTTTCAAGGTGAAATAAGCCCCATCATTATATGGAGCCCTCAGAATTATTCACAGCAACTGCGATGCCAGGGGATGCGAAGTCTTCGCCCTACCCCTCTGAAAAATGATGGAGTGAGTTCGTCAGTTGGGATGATGACATTCCCAACTAAATGGAAAAATAATCCAGTCATGTTCCAAACCAACCAGTTTTGAACAAAAGATAAATAAATCTCAACCAAACCAGATATACAGTTATGATATACATGAGTAGATCATGCTATCAAAATAAACATGTAAGAAACATTAAGAAACAATACTGGGAATCAGATCATTTCACAAACATCACGGATTTTCACGAAAACTGGTCCTTCAAAAAATATACCTGCGACTTTTTGGAGACTGGAGCGTCACGAGGTGGCCAAAAATACCATCTACTAGTATATATTATTTAGCCACATCTATATGCCCCTAAAATACATAGCCATGGATACTGAGAAAATCGCAGTGTTTGTGGGTCAAATGTAGTTTTGTGCTGGTGGAAATTCCAGTGTTTGTGGCTTAAATTCCAATGTGTGTGGGTGAAATAAACGGGGGTGCCCCAAAATGGATGGTTTATAGTTGAAAATCCATCTATAAATGGATGATTTGGGGGTACCCCCACCTTAGGAAACCTCCAAATATATCAGTTCCCTCGTTCTTGATGACAGCTCTCCTGCCCCACAGTCGCCTCCTTGGTGTCGCTGGTGAAGACGCCAGCAAGAGCCGGAGGACTCTCCTGGCGTTCAAAGCGTGAAAGTTATCATCAAAATAGGGATATATATGGGATATATCCTCCAGATGGTCCAGACCCAAAGATTTCATGGAGGGATTGATTGGATTTCTATACATACAATATTCAATGAATCATTCATGATTCCAATCAATTCACGGATTTCCATTTCTATACATACAATATTCATGAATTACCCTCTGGTAAACAAACAGTTTGCTATTGAAAATGGCCATTGTTAAATAGTGGATTTACCATGATTTACCCATTAAAAATGGTGGATCTTTCCATAATTATGTGACAGTTTACCAGGGGGTACATGAATTCAGCTCGGGGTATTTCAGGGACCGTGACGGCTCCTCCATCTCACGGCCGATCCTTAGCCGGATTGACCGTGGTGCTGTGGCAGGGTGATGTTCAAACCGATGTAATTACTGTAATTTACAGTGCGTATACATGTGTATATATATACTGTAAGTATAATATTATAAATATATAATACAAAAATAGAAATATAATGATATAATCTATCTATCTATCTATCTATCTATCTATCTATCTATCTATCTATCTATCTATTATCTATCTTATCTATCTTATCTATCTATCTATCTATCTATCTATCTATCTATCTATCTATCTATCTATCTATCTATCTATCTATCTATCTATCATTATCTATCTATCTAACTATATATATATACATAAATATCATATCACACCATTGACGCATGGGAGGAAATTCATGGGTCCAATCGGTCCAAACACGCCAATCGCGCACTCCAAGCACTCTTGAAGAAATGTTGCCGGACTGGATGATACCCCTCTGGTTGGTGGTTAATAGTGGTTAATAGTGATTAATACCTGATCTAATGAATTAACAAAATCTGGTTGGTGGTTGACCTACCCCTCTGAAAAATATGAGTTCGTCAGTTGGGATGATGAAATTCCCAATATATGGAAAAATAAGAAATGTTCCAGACCGCCAATCAGAAATGGCACCCTTTGGAACCCAAAGCCAGCTCAATCAGGAGGTCAGCCCAGTAAGCTAACTGATGCTAACTGCAAATGCAGTAAGATTCTTCCGAGCACTGCTCGGAGGGCACCTACGTTGTATTGAACGACCATAGCTGCATTATACCAATAACAAATCTAGTATCAGATCTAGTATCAGTAGCATGTAAATAATTCAATGTAAATAATTCAAAGCAAAGATCAACAAAAACCCTAAACTCATCAGATTTCCTTAGTGACTTCGTTGGAAAATCCATAAGAACATATGTGAAAAAAAAACGGAAAAAGCAGGCCTGTGAGAATAGCATGAAGAAGCCGCCATCTGGGTCCACAGAGTTGCCATTTGGTGGTTTGTTGATTCATTGATCCCCTAGGCCCCTTCCGGCCCTGAGTTTCAGAGATTTTACTTCACTGGGATGGTAAGTTAAGTCCATTCCGGACATCCTCAAAATCTGGATGGGCTACCATTCATGCGAATAGGCATCATCTGCTGCCAATTTTGCCAATGAGGAAACAAATGCTATGGATCAAAACCCTGATGCTCTTCTGCTCACGTCAAAATACTTTGGATCATGATATCAGATATATCCCAATAGTACAGTATTCAATAAGTATAATCATACGTATCACTGGTTGGTGGTGTCAACCCCTCTGAAAAATATTAGTCAGTTGGGATGATTATTCCCAATATATGGAAAAATAAAAAATGTTCCAAACCACCAACCAGATCATCATAGTGATTAGTATAATCTTACCGTGTGCTTGCCCCTTTTCGGCGGCGCAACCAAGTCAATTTTTCTCGTGCCCGCAATTGATATTAGCATGAACATATTCGTAGGATATCATGAAACATTCCACTATGAATGGTCAATATGGATTAATATGGGTTAATATGGATTAATTTTCTACATCCCAATTATCCAATTTCTGTATTATGGGATAATAACTAACGTTTTCTACATCCCAATTACTGTATGTTATCATTATTACCCTCTGGTAAACTGTCACATAACTATGGGAAATCGCCACTGCCAATTGGAAACTCAACTATTTCTACGGGCGGTGTTCATCCATTTTTGATAGCTACGTTAGTTTACCAGAGGGTATACCATCATCATCATCATCATCATCCTCATCCTCATCCTCATCGTCATTATATTATATTATCATATTGTCATTTATTAAGGGAGGATACCAGGAAAGACCTTGCAAGGTATACTCTGACCATCCCTGACCTATAGGGGGGGGTTATTAATCCGATGTTGGCATTATCCATGATTATCCACAATAATCCACTGAATCCATCTCTGAGGATTCCACAAAAAAGTCCTTGAGTCAAGTCTCACGGTGGGCTCCGGCCCAGAGGCACCATCCGAAGCGCCATCGCCGTCCGGCGAAGGGGCATCCTGAGAGGATGAACTGGGGTGAACCCATGGGATTCCACAAAAAATGTGAAAACATATATATATATGGTGTTGTGCAGGTTTGTGATGATTTCTTGGGGGCTTTCGCGGAAATTGGAACCTCAAACTCCAAGGTCTAGAGAAACATTTCCCCTCTTGTAATGCCCATAAACCAGGGTTTTATTTAAACCCCATGTTCATTTTGAGACAAGGCCATAGAAAGGTCCAAATTTGCGACTCAGGGGACCAACGGATTCTCCATTGTTATGGACCCAAAAAACATCCCGTTGTTGTGTGAGCGTTCTCCGGAAACGGTTTAGGTGATGGGAAAGTCACCCTTTTCAAACTGATGAGGCAACATTCCATTTATTACTCAGGGAAACGATGGCTATTGACTACTTACAAGTCCTGTCGTGAACTTCAAAACAACAAAGTACTGAATTAGTACAGAACACCCTTAACTTTCTGTAGAAGCATATACATCATATCTGTGGTGATCCATTGTTGTTGGAAGGTTTCCCTCCAAAACATGTGGGATTGGGCAGACTGACCATTGGAATGTCATGGGGACTTTGCCACACTATATCTAGTAGGTAGGACTCTGTTGTTTCCATGTTCTTAAAACAGTTTTAAGGTGGCAAACCCTACGAGGAAAAAGAGCAATAACTCGTTGTTCAGGGCATGTTTGGAACAATATTGTCATAAAAACGCAATGATTCGGGTCTATCCTTGCATTTTTGTCCACTGTAATTTCCAAACATATATCATAATATGTGTATATATATATATATTATTGGAATCTCAGCAATCAACAAACATAACGATATCCGGTACCAAACAACAGAAACAGGGAGTTTGTCACATGCTTCAGATTGTTCCAACACAGTTCCATGGCCATCTTGGTGTATGGCGAAGAAACTTTCAGGCCCAGGGGACCGCAGATTTCGCGTATTGTTTGTATGTTCATATGGGGATGGGTCAAAATCTTGTACCCTTGGTGAACATCAAAATAGCTGGTAAATGGATGTTCATCCCCCTAAAAATGGTATGTATAGGTATTGATCCATAGCCATATTTGTTCACAAATGCACTAGCCATATCCATCATTAACCATCCATTTTTCGGGAGGACATTTTTGTTTGACCCATAAAATCGAAGTTGGTTCCCGTCAGATCCATATCCATCATCTCGCCCATCGCACCTCGAAGTTCTGAAACTTCTTCCGCTTGCGGCGCAGCATGCGGAGCTGCGACTTGAGGCCTTTCAGCTTCGCGGCGCCGTGGTCGAAGCGGCCTTTGGCGCCGGGGTTAAGTGTGGTTTTTATCACCGAGAGCCGAGGGATGTCCGGTATCTAGGTGGATTCTAATGGTTATTACCCACTGACTCGGAGACTCGGGTTAGAAATGGTAACATATGTTGGTATGATTCTACAGATAATCTCTATTTGAAGCCATGATATCAAACAATATGTTCAGTATTTTGGGCCGCTTCTTCACAACTGGGAGGCTTCGACTGAAGATTTTATGAACATTGGGAAGTCAACTAGTGACTCGTCGAGGAGCAAATCAATGCGGTAAACCCAATGGTGTCAGATCTCAAATTGGGGATGGCGACTACACCACCCATTTCTGCTAAAGTCGAGCATTGTTTATTGGGGTTGCCATGGTTTGCCGCATTACTGGACAACTTATCGGATTTCAAGCCCTACTGCTAGTCTCCAAAAGCCGTTTTTTTTGCTCCAAAGCGGAGATACAATGAGATACATACCCCAGTGGCCGAGATGTACCCAAGGCTTCCCTCTACTAACATTGACCGAATTTGACCGATATTGATGGACATTGCACGTCCCCAACTTCGATATGGAATTCACACTGGGCAAATGGGAAGTCACTCGGAAGTCACACCACATGCTATGGAGAGACTACCTGCCCCATAAGGTGCCCACGTCCAGGATCAGAAATTTAGGGTATCCAATCAGATCTCTTGAGCAACTTACCCTCTGGTAATTTAACACTTTGCTATTGAAAATGGCCATTGAAATAGTTGATTCACCTATTAGAGATGGTGAATTTCCATAGCTAGATTAGTTTACCAGAGTGTAAGTCGAACAAACAATCTGGTTCAACATGACCATCCCGAAAGGTTCAGCCATGTTTTCGGGTGATTTCTCCCCTAAGTCAGCCCCACCTGTGATGGCATCTCGCACGGCGGGTGTAGAGCCATAGACCAAGGCGTTCAGAAAACCCTGCAGGGGTCCAGTGAAGACACACCTCAGTTGATCCCCAAAAAATCGAGAGCGGCACCCCGTTGGGGGAGGGATTTTTAATGAAAGATCATGATAAAACACTGTAAATAACGATGTTTTATGCACTTGGAGGGTCAGAAACCCTAGTAAAACGATTTTTTGTGCATCATGATCTTGACATGAGATATACAGAAACATTGACAGGTACCCAAACAAACGCTAGATGCACCAAACCTGCACAGGCACAAAAAAAAATCTAGCAACTACAGTGGACCCATTTTTTTGTTTTTTTGGTGCCTGTGCAGGCTTGGTGCATGTGGTTGGTGTTTTTGTTTTTTTGGTGCCTGTGCAGGCTTGGTGACTCTGACCTCACAAAACATTGACACATTGACAAGGAACAAAGCTAAAAAAAAACATCAAACCTTCTATCACTGTTACATCATCTATTGCTAATATCGGTTTGAGGAATTTCAATTGCAGCTGTTTCTTGACTGGAGGCTAGATCATACATGTTTGGATTTCGAAAGCCAATTCAATAATGAGTACAGTATCTTTCTTAAAATGAATCTGCCAACAAGGCTCGACAAGAAAAGATACGGGATGACATACAGAAAATGCGTCCAACTTCTTCAGTGATAAACTTTACTTCATTTGTTGATAATTTTGATGTGTAAAGATTTTTTTAGAGTTACTGTATGTTTGACAATAGTGACTGCAACTGCCCCTTGGGTGCAGGCTAGATCATGTATGTTTGGATCTTGGCAATGGTCTAAATTGATGTTTAAAAAAGCAAACATACGATTGTCTTTGAATAGCTATGCCACCACACAAGTGGCCTGATCTTAATAGTCAACAGCATGACACACTTCTCTGTCTCTCTGGCTTTCTCTCTGTCTCTCTAATTATTGACATGAGCCTGCTGACAAGACTCTGCAATATAACAATGATAAACAAGATATGTATAGATATGTACCTACTTCTTGAGTTGTAATATTCCCACCATCCTTCTTATCCAGAGTGTTAGATGTGCTTGTGTATATCCACCTACGTAATGTATGCCCTTCCCACCATACTTCTTATGTATATCCTTGGGCACACCTACACCTTTATATGCTTTCAATGAACTGTTGCAAGCGCAAATGCTTCTACAGCCACCTATTGCTGCTGTATATTCTGCTCCAAGATGCACAGCTACCCATTCTTATGGCATGTTGTGCAGCAGATGTTTTCTGTCGTGTGTTGATGGCTTGTAGCTCTTTGCAAGCCCCAAAGGAAAAGTTGAATCCTGTCACAAGAGTCTGTAGATGCCAGTACTTTATGACAGCATATGATAGCCCTTGAAGGTGAACTCTATTTCTTGCTCTAAAAAAATCGGTTTTAATAGGTGTTGACTACCTCAATCCACAAACTGGAAAAAACATGTGGAAATTTAGCGGCAAAATCCGATCGAAATGGGTGTTGAAGCTGCAAATTGAAAGGCATCTACAAAACATCTACTTCAGCATTGCGGTTGAAATTTATTGTGAACACCAAAATCAGGAGAAGACAGTACCTGATAAGTAGGGACCAACAAGCAGGGGCTTGGAACCTTGGAACTTGTCTTGCAATGGCTGTGTTTTTTGATATGTTTTGGTTCATCAGAATATGACTGAGAAATTTCAGGAGCTACTGTACTTGAGTAGATACTGCTTTTTGTTGGCCGCCCCAGTTCTACTAAAAAACACCTATTGGGTCCTTCTGTGCGACCCCTCTAAACAGAAATACGTGTATGTCATGATCATGTTTGTTTACTGAGCTCTGACTGACTTTGGTAGCCAATGTAGGCAATTGTGTTTTGCTATACACTGCTAGTCAGAATTCCCTGGGATCACGTTCAGTATTTTAAAGGACCCACAGAAAATCCATCTTGGTCTTTTTCCAATCGGGCATCCACATCGCACATGAGTTTGGTTTCCGGACACATAATCCAAGATGGATCTGCCCATGTGCGGAAAAACCACGTCCAACAACCTCCCGGCGAGCTGCGAAGATCTAGCGGAACTGCTTTCTAGGTCAAGTGGAGCAAAACACACGTTCAAGACCTCAAGACCAACATATTTACTGTAGCTATTCGATAGTATTGCCTTGCGGTCTTCCAGTATGACAAAAAATATCACCATTCAGATCCATTTTCCGGGAAAACCATGGAAAAACCCAACATTTGATGGTTTTCCATGTTTTTTTGGCCCATAAATATCACCATCATCTTCCCATTTATGGCCATTTTGAGGGGTGTACACCAAGCTGTCAATGAAAATCGAAAAGGTATGGACACCGCCGGTTAATCAGATTTTTTCACCAGTCCGACTGTACTAGTAGAAACCCAAGTACTAGTTCTGTTTAGTATTCGTCAATATATAACTGGTAAAACTGATATACTGGGATACCTGGGATACCTGGGATACATTGATAACATTTCATAACCATTGATATACTGGGATGGCCAATGGCGCCTGCGAAGCGAGCTGGGCGACCAGCAAAAGACCAGAATCAGGGGTAGGAGCATCATCAGCCGCAGCGATCGCCGCTGCCGTTCCAAGTCCTGGGCGGGGCAAGCGGGGCCGAGTGTGGAAATCTGGTTGAGTTGAGTTGAATGATCTGACTCAACAAAGACGACGAGCAGGAATTGTATCAAATAATACTGTATCGAATATCAACAGCATTCCTTGAAAGTGTCTTCAATAATCTGCGAGACTGGATACCCAATCGCCCCGGAAGTGGGTTGATACCCCTTGTTGTTGGAATAATATTGCCCTGTCCAAATGGGAAAACAGGGAAATCCACTGGTCAATTATGATTCACGTTCCCATTGGATTATTACAATTTGGGAGGTAAATCCACCCCATGTCAAACACACAAAAACAAGATAAATTGTCAACTGGCTGGTTATATCATATCCCATGACATGTATCATTTATACATTATATATATATATCATTATATTCATATCAAGTGATATCCAATTGTGCTTGGTCCTATGCCCCATTTATACATATATGTTGTTTTTATTTGTTTTTCCTCAAATGGGGGATCCCAATAAAGCTGTCCAAGTACCATTTTAGTATTGAAACCTATTTTTCCGCTATGGTGACTTGGGGATTCCCCAGTCTAAAGCCGCTGGCTATCCACTGGTCATCTTACCTGTCCGGATTCACATCTTCAAAGGATCCTTGTGGTATTCGAAGGCAGTGCCCTCGTATTCATCCGCGTTGCCTCATCGGGTTGCCGTGGAAATCTAAGGGGAGCCTCTGGCAACTGGGGTTTATGGCTTAATTGGAGTTTCATATGGTATTGATAAAAAGAACTATATAATCAATATTGCTTGATGGAGATTGAGAACTTCAAAATATGCCTTGATATCAATCCCATTCAATGGATTTTGTGCAACATCTGCAGGAAAGCATTGCTTTTGCGCTCAAGCATAAAATGATCGATGTTCCTTTCAACCAACTCTGTGATGATGGGGCTTTATTTGTTAGGGGGCCCTGAAGCATAAGGCCGCCTGAACTTCATCTTCCAGGTAATCAGTGAGAAACGTAGCATGAAATGGATGCTGAAAACTACCATTGATTAAAACATGCTATTTGGATTAAAAAGCCCATGGATTAAAATTAATCAAACTTCGTGAACCTGAACACCTTGACATAATCTGCTACTCTGACTACTCTGATCATTCTTGCACGCTAGAGTTTGCTGCAAGCGACTGTTCAAAAGCTTCGGAGGGTGTCTTTTTTTACCCTTTGCATGTCATGAGCAGTGGCAGCACATAAATTTTGTTAGGTGTATCTATCTATATATATATACATACACACACGTTCACAACGGGGGTGCTGCCCGGAGGTTTGTGTGTTTTGACTGCGGGCCAGTGGCTGTCCATGGCAACCCTAAACACTACATCTTAAACCCTAAAACCTAAACCTGATATGACACCATTTTTGTAAGCCTTGAAAGTAGTCAGTCTTGTTAAAACCATGGTAAAAACCCTGAAAATCCTAAATGAAACCCTAAACAAACCCTAAACAACCCTAAAGAGTTGGTCACATGATAAACGTCTGGGACGCACCCCCGGCCTGGGGGTATATATATATATTTATTTATTTATACACATTACTCATTACAATTACAATATTACATATATATATATACACACAGTTTTGCTTATATTGGATCTGTAAGACCACACTCAAGTGTTATGAACATTGAGTGAATAAAGTAATGAGTTGCAGTTCAATGAAACCAGTTTGCAGTGCCTACTTCGTGGTGTAGTGGTCGAAACTTAATGGATAATATGATATAACCATGGCATTCTAACCCTCAGAAGTTGGGAAATAACCCCTGTAACTGTCGCTATAAGCATATTATATATATATGTACTATATATATGCATTATTATACATTCTTAGACATTACTCTATATATATATACATACATACATATGTATATATATATACATAATTATACATATGTGTGTATGTATGTACTGGAACTACAGTCCCAAACTTCGTCACGGCACTGGACTCATCCAAAAGGTGGCTCAGGCGTTGGGAGACGCACCAATAGACCTGGGCTCTCGTCGACTCGTCAACGTTGGACGGGCTTTGGGCTTGGATTTCACCATATTTCACCAACGAAAAATAGTGGTTTAATGATGTTTAATGGGATCTAAAAGGGTGGATAATGGTGACTAATACTGGTCAAAATGGTGCTTAATAGTTGAACAGAATGGGATTTTTTGAGCCACAATTCTATGGTATGAAAAAAGACCAGCTGAAAATATGGTTGTTTACCGAAGCTGATTCAATTCGAACGGGCCCTGAAATTCGGGTCCAAAGACAGCGTGCTTCAAGGGGACCGCTTATGGCGGCTTTATTCTGGATATCTTGTTGGTGCCAATCGAAGGGTTACCCTCTGGTAAACTAACATCATAACTATGGAAAATCATCATTTTAGTGGGTAAATCCACTATTTCTATGGTCATTTTCAATAGCTATTTGTATGTTTACCGGAGGGTAAACTGAGTCGCAGCATGCTTCAAATCACCATCGGTCCATGTTGTGCTGCGATCCGGCAGGGATCCAGGCCCAGAGGGAGTAAGCAATGGCCAGCCACAAAGGCAAGTAGAAGGTCGCAAGACCTGCAGTTCATGGGGGAACATCATTCCATTTAAGTTGGATGGGAAATCATGGAAAGTCAACAAAAAAACAAAACACCAAGCAGTTCAGTTAGTTCACTTCGATGGGAGGTTGATTCTGACCTAATAGACTATTGACTCTCTTTGTTCGGATTTACGTATATCATTTGTCCTGCTTCTGACAAATCACCCGTCTTTTGCCACTCGGCGATGTCAACCAGTCAAGCCCCTTCACATTTGCGACCGACCCCCAATATCCCCCAAAGGCATCAGGATGATACGTGCGTCCAAGCTACGCAAGACGGTTCCGAGCGCCGAGTTTTCAATCCTAAAGGGAGGCGGATTGGCCCTGGACCCAGAATAGAGGATTCAACCATGGAAATGCTGGTTTAGCCACCATTTAACTCATCAAACATTGGAGTTTTAACCAGTCCATCATGGATTTGGGTCTGTCTGAAAATAGGATATACCAAAGTCAACACTTGAATTCAAAATTTGATGATGAACATAAATGGATTTTGGAGTACCCTGTTCTCAGACAACCCCCCCCAAAAAATACACCGTTACAATTCAACAGGGAACTGAATTCAAAAGTCCGCTTTGAAAATGGTTCGGAGAGTTGGAAACCTATGTGCACAATTGATTCAATTTCGAGGCATACACCCTCGGGCCCTCCAAAAAGGCAGGGCCCAATCCACTGTTCTGGAAACAGTTTTGTCGGAAACTCTAGAAAAACGTCTAGAAACTTAAAAACAGGCTCTTTCTTTCAGCCCTTCTGCCAATTGGCAGAAAAGCAAAAAGAGATCCAAAATACCCAAACAAAAAAAAATATATATATATATATAATTCTATATATATATATAATTCTATATATATATATATATATATAATTCTATATATAATTATATATATATAATTCTATATAATTCTATATCTGTTATACATAGATATGTGTTATATATTGTTATATCATGTTATATCTACAATCTATAGTTAACATCGTCATCCAAGGCACCAGCAGATCATCCCGCTGGGCCCGGTGGCACCCAAGACCAGGACCAGGCCCAAGGCCAGCAGCGGTAGACCTTGGGACCCCTTGGGACGGGACCCCCGTGGGGACCATGGGAACTCCACCTGGAGATGAAGCATGGTTCATTGATGTTAATTCATCAAAACATGGTAAAGTTCATTGTTAATTATAAAGGTAAGTTTAATGAGGCTCATTTATATGTTTTTTAACTTATGGTTAGTGATGGTAAATTTTATGGTAAATTAAATGGTTAGTTTTGATTAAGTATGGTGAAATATGCTGGTGAACTCTGGTTAATTGTGGCTAATTATGGCGAATGTATCCAACATTAGCGGTAGCTTGTGGTCAATGATTGCTAATTCATCCAAAACTTGGCGGTAACTTATGGTTAATTGTGATTACCCTAGTGTGCAACCCATCTGGATAAAGGGAAATATGTTAACTTAAAGGGGTTATATATATATATATATATACAGGTGAGAAACCAGACCCTGACTGGATACATATCAAATTTTCACCCCGAGAAGGATAGACAAGTCAATGTAACTAGTGGTATATATAAGCCATGGTAAATTGAATCGTGTCTGTCGTTTTGGAGCTGCTCACTTTCTTGCTCGGGAAAATCTACAGGAAGCCTGTTTTTTTCCCCGTCAAATATGTGGGGGGATGTAGTAAGTTGATTGGAAAATGATGATGTGGAATGAATTCAAGAATATGTTTTAATTTCAAATCAATGTCTTATTCTTATGCCGTGTTGGACACCCAATGTTCAAACAACACATTCTGAGATTGTTCCAATCTTTTGCTACCGTGCTACTGGGTTACCTCTGGTCAAATTACATCGGTGGTTGAACCACTTGACTATAATAAATGTTAGGTTAGATTATTGTCCAACGCATTGCTAACACAATACTGGGAGCACCTGCACTTGTATAGACACACTCAATTTCATTCCGTTCCCCTAGCTCGTCAGGTTGGGTCTTTAAAATGATCCGTCTCACTTTATTCTGTAGCTTCCCACTTCCTACTCGGTGATGTTCCTTCGCTAAATGGTCTTATCATATCCATGTGTAATAATTCTATACATTATATGGCTGGCATTACATTACATCGCATTACATTGCATTGCATCGCATTACATTACATTACATTATATACATTACATTACATTACATTCTGCTACATTTAGATTGCATACATTGTATTATTCATAAATACACTATATTCATATCATACAATTGTGTATATCAAAAAACACATGACGGGCAGTACAATTTGTTACCTCACATGGTGCCCGGCTTTTCGTGTTGCGAATGAACCCGGGATCCAGACCCCAACAGCCAATGTGAAGTCGCTTTTCATGCCTGAGATCGTCCGTGGACCATCGAGAAACTGAACCCGGTCGTTTTGAAAAACATGGGAAAGCCATGGAAAGGATTGGGCCTAGGTGGTGTTTACATCAAAAATGGTGACTTAATCAGGAAAATTGTGATTTAATGGGGGATATAAATGGTTATAATGGGGATACATGGAGATATTCATATACCGTTCAGTCATCAAACATGGCAAGAAGGGACCTCCGGAACTAAGTGGTGGTTTCTAGCTGGGAACATTATCTAAAGATGGGGGGTAGTTTATTTTCCGTGGCCACGTTTGATTAACAGCCTTAACAGCGGGTATTTGGATTAGAATAATGGTATTTTTTTCAGCAACAAAATGTCCTTTATTGATGGTTGTGTTGAAAAAAGGTTTGAGCCATCAATATAGCACAGTATACAGGTTCCCTGTAGATCCCTGTAGGGTATTCCTTAAACCCGATCTCGGATGAATTGCTTTACATTGCTTGCTGGAGTGCCATTGGTCCTATAGCAATTCTGTTGAGATCTATACCTGCATCTCTCTATCTCTCTCTCTCTCTCTCTCTGTTGTGAGATTGAATGCTCTGAACAGTACGTATCAATCCTGAACATAGACTCGGTCTCAGACATTCTTGACACCAAAGGGTCAACGCAGAAACACAATAGTTTGCTAATTCAGAGCGATTTCAATCATGCATGTGATATGCATGTATCGAGCATTTCGTCACGAGTCACCTACAATGCTCATTTAATGTTCGCCCAAAACATCACCATTTTGGTGAAGACTCTCAGTTCTCAGTTCCGATATGTTCCGATACTGCTGGTTTCACCATGTGAAACACCTATCACACGTGAACCAAACGGCGCAATGGTGCAAATTGTGTCATTTAAGCAGTGTACCTTTAAGACAAAAACACGTGAAGCTCCGTGAAACCAGAAAACGATTCATCGAGACAATATTGGATATTGGATATGGGATATTGGATATCCAATCTCAATAAATTTGAAAATATGACAACGATCAGTTCAATCAACCCCTATGTTCCCTTTTTAGTATTGCTGTGTATCATCCACATCTTCGTCGGTTGAATCGCCTTTTACCTTCGCCGGTTGAATTCGTTTTTTTGCTCCTATTGCCATAGCCATACACCACACCAACATGTACGCCTGCTCGACAACCCCCATTCATACATATTGTTTATCTGAAAAATAGGGGAATATATATATACATATACATAATTATAATATATTTATATATATACATAATATATATATACATAGATATATATAATATAATTGAAGGCTACTCAGTTCATCACTTTTTCATCACTTTTTCATCACTTTTTCCCGTCATTCTCTCCCTATGACAACTCGGCCTTACCCCCGAGCCGAAGAAACCGGCTTTCCACGGTCAAATCTCGGGCCATGACGATGCCTCGATCGACTCGATCGGCTCAAGGCGATCGGCATGACCGTGAAGGACAATAGGTCTGTGACTAATGGTTGACCTATTTATAATGGTTATTCTATGGTTAATATATGGTTATTCTATGGTTAATGGTGGTTAATAAATATCTGGTGAATAAATAACTGGTTGGTGGTTTCAACTATCTTGAAAAATATGAAAGTCAATGGGAAGGATGACATCCCATATATGAAATGGAAAATAAAAAATGTTCCAAACCACCAATCAGATAAGGTTTGATACCTGCAATGGTCCGTACAATTGGAGCATCACATCAATCTGTGATAATCTGGTTATACCATCTGGTTATGACTAACAGTTTGCCATGGAAAGATCCACACATTTTTAAGTTGGGTAAACCATCTATTTCGATTAGGGCCATCGAAAAACCATGGCTATGTTAAATAACCAGAGGGTATCTATAATATTCTATAATAAGGTTTGATATCTGCAATAGTCATGATACCTGCAATACTATTGGACTGTGACTGTCTGTGACGGTCTGTGACGGTCTGTGACTGTCTGTGACTCTGAAATATTGTTAATCATGAAAGTTTGCACAGGATTTTACTCGGGATACACAATCACAGAAGCCAGCGTAAGCAAAAAAAATCAAAGTTACAATGAAATATAAACTATCATAAAGTAATAGATTATTTCATAAAATAGATTATTTCATAAAGTAGATTATTTATGATAGTTTATTTTAGTAAACATCATTTTGTAATACTTTATCATAGACATGATGACTGTCAAACCCGATTTCCTTGTCAAGCCGTCAAGCCGGGTTAAGCCGGCATCGTTCCACTGTTTTGCTCTACTCATGGAGGTTTCCATAGTCATGGGGGCACCCCAATGGCTGGATGGTTTATAATCCTACTAAAATGGATGATTTGGGGGGTCTGCCTTATCTGGTTGGTGGTATACCTACCCCTCTGAAAAATATGAGTTCGTCAGTTGGGCTGATTATTCCCAATATATGGAAAAATAATCCAAATGTTCCAAACCACCAATCAGTTATTTTAGGAAACCACCATATATCACCGTGCAAAAGTTGCGGTGCGGGCAGCCCAGTGACGTCGGATGGAGTCTGCAATGGCCACCGTCCAGAGAATCGAGGACAAACCGAAAAAGATGCCTGCTGCGCTTCGGGTCAATGAGGGGCTAGAAGGAGTAAAGAGGATGTGTACACACAGGATTTCAGATGTTATTTTGTGATATATGTATATAATATATATATATATGATATATGTGTATGGTATGTGTATATGATATATGTATATGATATATGACATGTATATGATATATATATATGTGTGTATGATGTATATATATGTATGTATGTATGTATGTATGTATGTATGTATGTATGTATGTATGTATGTATGTCTGTGTGTGTGTATGTATGTATGTATGTATGTAAGTAATGTAATGTAATGTAATGTAATGTAATGTAATGTAATGTATGTTTGTATGTATGTATGTATGTATGTATGTATGTATGTATGTATGTATGTATGTATGTATATGATGTATATGCATGTTTATGAACATTCAAACGTATGGATACTATAATAATAATATATATATATACAATTCGGGAATAGCAATGAACCAAAACCAGATAGGGATTTGAACATACAAGTACTACAAAGACTGCGATCTCTACCCAACTCCAGCATGGCTCGGCGGATCATCCAAGATGAGTTTCAAGTTCCAAGTCAAAGTCATCTTGCATGTATAATACGTATTTTTATTTTGTTGGTAAGAAAGTGGTAGGATGGATGTATATGTATATATATAGCTATATGTGATATAATTTACATACATTTCTTTCTATGAGATATCAATTGCAGAGTACAAGTATATAATAATAATAATCATCATCATCATCATAACATATAATAAACATCATCAGAATAGTGAGAATACTGCTGAAACAATAAGAAACAAATATTCATCCAGCGAGCCAAGCCTAGCATCGATTGCACCACACACTTGGTGTAGTGGGGGCGTTCAAACTCACCTCGAGGAAAAAAATCAGCATGGAGAAAAAAAGCCTTCATCTGTTCCAAAAAGCTGGCTGAAAATATTCCAGCCAGGAGAGTTCCAAAAACAGTTTTTATACTTTTTATACAGGCTGTAAACACTGCTTCGTGGTTGAAACATGTTGAAACTGCCCTAATTGTTCACGGAATCATTCCAGTGCATCGCCCATCACTGGAGAGGAACGATTGCCATTTGTCGCCCAGGGGCGACTCGTTGTACGCGCATCAGTATGATCACTCATCTGATGTAGCTACATTCAAATAAACAAGCTTAAACAAACGTCTGGTCAATATGTATATATTGTTGTAGCTACATATCGTCGCTACCTACATGTACGTATTTATATCTGGGTGTGTCTGAAATGGTGCATACCCCCAATATGGGCCAAATACAATTCGGGATTACTTGAGTTGGGGGTAATTCTGATAATTGACCCAGTGGATTCAGGGGGGTTCCCAAAATTTTTCAGACAAAACCACATGTTCATCTTTCCAGTGTTCAAAACCCTTCTGTCGTCCTTTTAGACTGGCTGGTTAGTAGGATTTAGGTAGGAAGTTGTTTAGGGAATTAATTTTTGTTTAGTTGAGTTTAGTTCTTTTTAATTCCTGGCCGTCCCCATTTTCCATGCTATTTGCAGCATTTGGGAGCTGGAACTTTCCACTTTGCATGCCATTTGCAACATTTTGAAGCTGGAACTGTTCATTTTGCATGCTACGCACAGCATTTTAAAGCTAGAGCCTTCCATGTTGCATACTATTTGTAGCATTTTATAGTTGGAACTTTCCGTTTCGCATGCCATTGGCAGCATTTTGCAGCTGGAACCTTCCATTTGGCTTGCCAATTGCAACATGTGGAAGCTGGAACCTTCCATCGTGCTTGCCAGTTGCAACATTTGGGAGCTGGAACCTTCGATTTTGCATGATAATATATTTGCAACATTTTGGAGCTGGATTCTTCCATTTGGCATGCTTTTTGCAAGTTGTTGTTTGTTGTTGGTTGTTGTCTGTTAGGTGGGGGTTCTTGTTCCCCACCTGCCAGGTGAGGGTTGTTAGATTTTATGTCAGTTGCCTCCTCCTCCTCCTGCTCCTCCTCCTGCTCCTCCTCCTCCTCTCCTCCTCCTCCTCGTCCTCCTCGTCGTCCTCGTCGTCCTCGTCGTCCTTGCTCAACTGCGACCCGCGATCCACAGTGTTCGCTGCCGGACCTCAACCACGACCATCCACGCCCAGTGTTCGCTGCCGGACCTCAACCACGACCATCCGCGCCCAGTGTTCCCTGCCGGACCTCAACCACGACCATCCGCGCCCAGTGTTCCCTGCCGGACCTCAACCGCGACTATCCGCGCCCAGTGTTCCCTGCCGGACCTCAACCACGACCATCCGCGCCCAGTGTTCCCTGCCGGACCTCAACCGCGACCATCCGCGCCCAGTGTTCCCTGCCGGACCTCAACCGCGACCATCCGCGCCCAGTGTTCCCTGCCGGACCTCAACCGCTCTTCTGACATATCTTCTGACATTTTATTTGGCATTCTATCTGACATATCTTCTGGCATATGATCTGGCATATCTTCTGGCATATCTTCTGGCATTCTATCTGGCAAATATTCTGGCATTCTATCTGGCATATCTTCTGGCATTCTATCTGACATATCTTCTGGCATTCAATCTGGCATTCTATCTGGCATATCTTCTGGCATATATTCTGACATATCTTCTGGCATTCTATCTGACATATCTTCTGACATATATTCTGACATATCTTCTGGCATATCTTCTGGCATATCTTCTGGCATATCTTCTGGCACATCTATCTGGCATATTTTCTGGCATTCTATCTGGCAAATCTTCTGGCATTCTATCTGGCATTCTATCTGGCATTCTATCTGGCATATCTTCTGGCATTCTATCTGGCATATCGATAGGAAGATAAAATGTCAGATAGAGTGCCAGAAGATTTGCCAGGTAGAATGCCAGAAAATATGCCAGAAGATATGCCAGATAGATATGCCAGAACATATTCCAGAAGATATGCCAGATAGAATGCCAGAAGATATGTCAGAATATATGCCAGAAGATATGCCAGATAGAATGCCAGAAGATATGTCAGATAGAATGCCAGAAGATATGCCAGATAGAATGCCAGAAGATTTGCCAGATAGAATGCCAGAGATATGTCAGAATATATGCCAGAACATATGCCAGAAGATATGCCAGATAGAATGCCAGAAGATATGTCAGAATATATGCCAGAAGATATGCCAGATAGAATGCCAGATAGAATGCCAGAAGATATGTCAGATAGAATGCCAGAAGATATGCCAGATAGAATGCCAAATAGAATGTCAGAAGATATGTCAGATAGAATGCCAGAAGATGTGCCAGTAAGAACATGTATAAATGTCATGGTGGGGATCACACGAAGTAAAGTAATTTGTCTTGTTATTTTTGTTGCAGTTGTAGCTGTTGTAGTTCCTGTAGTTGTTGTATTTGTAGCTGTGGTAGTACAGTTGTAGTTGTAATAGTAATTTTGTTTCTTGTTGTTGCTTTTGTTGTTGCTGTTGCTGTTGTGGTTGTTGTTGGGGTTGGTGTAGCTGGAGGCACACACCAACAACTGTTGATGTTGTGGTCTTTGTTTGGGTGTAGGCTACTGTAGGCTGTCTTTGTGATTTCCTTACGTTTGTGGCTTTGGTTGCGGTGAACAGGTGGACACAAACAAAGCCATGAAGTCAAGAAACTGGTGAAACCATCAAGGCAAAAAAAATGGAAACAAACAACAGAGTTTGCGTGGCATTTGCAATATGTTCAGCATTCTGCAACGTCAACCTGCATTGTGGAGATAGAACCTCTTGCATGGCATCTGCGACATTTGGAAAATAGACCCTTTCATATTGCATGGTATTTGCAAGATTTTGCGAATGATATTTGCATGTATGTGCAGCATTTTTGAACTTCAATTTTCCATGTTGCATGGTGACTTTCCATTTTGGCTAATATTTGAAGCATTGTGAAACCTTAACTTGTTAACCAGGTCATTCACATCATGGTCTTTACACCAACGACCAACGCAAAGAAACCCAAAAGGGCAAAAACAAAAACACGCAACAGCTGGAGGGGGGCATTGGGGTTGTTGCTTTTGTTGCGTTTGTTGTTCTCGTTGTTCCTTTTATATTTGTTGCTTTTGTTGTTTGTGCTGCTGGTGTTGTTCTTCGTGTAGTTGTAGCTGCACTTGTAATCAAGCAGAACAGCAAGGAAGCAAGTAGAAAAACAAAAAGCAACGAAAGCAGAACAAAAACACTAGTGAACAAAAACGCAGAGAAACAAAAAACAGAGAAGCAGAAAAAACAGAGAAGCAAAAAAGCAGAAGCAAACAAAAAAACGTAGAAGCAAAACAACAGAAGGAAAAAAAAACAAAAAATACAGAGGGAAAAAAAACAGAAAAAAAGAAACACAGAAAAGCAGAGAAGCAAAAACAACAGAGAAGTGTAGAAGCAAAAAAAAACAGAAAAGCAAAGAAAACAGAAAAGCAAAAAAACAGAAAAACAAAAACAACAAAGAAGCAAAAAAGCAGAGAAGCGACCAAAACAGAAAAGCAGAGAAGCAAAAAAGCAGAAAATCAGCACAGTAGAGAGAAGAGAGGAATAAAAAGAAAAATCATGCCCTAAATGAATGGCCTTCCATAGGATTTCCCCTTATGGACTGTGATCATCTGAAAAATCAATATCGGTTGGAATCATCATAAATATAATCAATCAACAATCATTTATCAGCTATAGTCATTTAGTGTATATAATCAATCAATAGTATAAGCATGTATCAGCTATATCCACTTCCGAAAATTTCATGCTTAGAAAATTCCATACTAATCATCAACCCACGGGGGGACCGGCTCGCAGCCAGTCAGTACTCAGTTCCAGGCCCATCAGAAAGGAGGTGCAAAGCCACAGGTCGCTTATGGCCAGGTACAGGACCAAGCGCGCAAAGTAGCGCCTCTGGAGTTTCCCAAGCCGAGCGTTTAAGTTTGAGAGTCACCAGAGAGTGGCTGCTTTACCAAAATTGGGATATAGTGGGGATTCATGGGAGATATATATATATATATATGGTCCCGTGTCCCGTGTTCCCACCCCCCCCCATGGGATGGGGGGGGGTATGATGCCCCTGTGGTGGTGTATATACATACATACATACCTACATACCTACCTACCTACCTACATACCTACGTACATACATACATACATACCATTACATTACCTTACATTACCTTACCTTACATTACCTTACCTTACATTACCTTACCTTACATTCCATACATAGATACATACATACATACATACATACATACCTACATACCTACATACCTACATACCTACATACCTACATACCTACATACCTACATACCTACATACCTACATACCTACGTACATACATACATACATACCATTACATTACCTTACCTTACATTACCTTACCTTACCTTACATTACATTACCTTACCTTACCTTACATTACCTTACCTTACCTTACATTCCATACATACATACATACATACAACCATCAACCCTCAGCATCCATCCATCCTCCAATACATACATACATACATACATACATACATACCAACATACCAACATACCAACATACCAACATACCAACATACCAACATACCAACATACCACCACCACAGGCCACAGGGGGGGGGGGAACCAGAAGAACCATACCACCACCACAGGCCAAGGGGGGGGGGGACCAGAACGAACCATACCACCACCACAGGCCACAGGGGGGGGGGGGACCAGAAAACCAGACGATACTGTCCACCAATACCCATTGGTGGGGGGGGGAGGGGGGGTGGCCAACGCTGCACCATATATATATATACAATAAGAGAAATGTGATCAACAATCTGATTTCTGAGTTGGAAAATGGGAAGATTTATCCCCGGTCGGCGACCCACTTGCACACACACACACACAAAATTGCCTCACTTGTACACTTCAACCTTGGGGGGTGGGGTGGGGCTAGGGAAGAAAAGGGTAGGATCTACCAGCCACACCCGTTGCTAAACTTCACTATAGGGACACAACCGCTACTGGACTTCCTTCGACTTACCATCACACTTCAACCTTGGGGGGTGGGGTGGGGCTAGGGAAGAAAAGGGTAGGATCTATCAGCTGCACCCGATAATAAACTTCATTATAGGGACACAACCGCTACTCGACTTCCTTCGACTTGCCATCACACTTCAACCTTGGGGCTGGGGTGGGGCTAGGCATCATCATCATCATCATCCGTCGCATCCGCGTGTACAACTGAGTTGTTTTTTGTGTGCACAACCGAGTCGGTTTTCGCGTGCGCCACCGAGGCACCTTCCTTTATCCCCATTCTCCCCATTCTATAGCCATTCCTTTTGGGCAATCTGATAAAGCATCGAGTTTGGGGGTACCATATTTTCAGACAAACCCAAATATTGCCCATCCTTGCTTGTGAATAAGTCTTGTTAAATTGTAAAACCTCGAAACAAATAATGGTTTCTATCCCTCACAAAATGATTCAACAGGCATTGACTCATCCCCAAGGTGCGTTCCTAGGTGCGACCCTAGAACATGCAGCGCTTCATGAAACCAATGGTTTTGCCCTTGTACCCCAAGTACGTGGATGAACTATAGGAAGATATTAATTCCTTGACCATACAGGAAAAAAACAAAGACTAACACCTGAAAATGATTAAATATAAATGCAATGAAATACATATATACTGTACATATATTATATATACACATCAAAGAACACTAGCTTCACATTCCAACATCTGAGTCGGCATCCACACATCATACCATAGTTCACCACAACTTGAAAAAGCCATATGTTCGGCTGGTCTACAGCAATATACCACTCTTAAAAGTATGGCCAGTTGAGGATGATTCCTCCAATCCTAACCATCATCTACGTTGTGAGGTCACAAGATAATTTACTCTTAACTATCATAGTGTTGGTTGTATATGCTGTATAATGATATATATATATATATATGTATAATTATATATATACGGTTCTTAACCAAACCAATCCCAATGGCCTATCCCGATTCTATCCCCATCAACCATATCCGCAACTATATCCCCACAATATTCCCAACTGCCCAAGGATATCCTCACCGATCATTTCCAAATGTTTGCTGCAACCCCATGTCAAACAGTCAAACATATCCCCACGGCTACGCCTCAAGGCTGGGAAGGCCAGAAACGCCCCAATGACCTGCTTGACAGTCGTCAAATGCGCTCAGATCTAGGGGAGATGAGTTAGAGGAACACCAACAGTCAACAAAAATTAGGAGATATGTGAAGATATGATAGGATTCAAACTGCACAGGAAATATCAAATCAAAAGTCATGAAACCACTGGCATTGATGCACCAAAAAACACCTCCCGTCTGCCCTGAGGATGGCACCAGGAGGCAGCCACCGATGGACAAGACCGAAGACACAGTGTTGAGGCTCCGAAAAAGGGGCCTCGGTGAGTGAAGGTCAACTCTTGGAATCAAGGGGAGTTGCCCTCAAAAGGCACTGCAGTGGCCTTTTAACGTGGCCTTTCCCCTTCCCCACCTTTCCTTAGTCAATCCCCATTGTCCATGCAGGCCCTGCATCCAGTTGGGTGCAATGGTCACACATGCTTTTGGGATACGTTTGGGCTACTGATGGCAATGGATGTCTTGTTTGTTGTGTTTCATGCATCCTTTAGCTTCATCCCTGCATCCTTTAGCTGTGGAACAGGGCTCCGGGCCCATAGCCGATCTCACCACTCTCATCCCCCGGTGTGAGAGCCACCATGGCTAGCCGAGTCCCATGAGCATGCTGGTTGTCATGGTGAAAACGGCAGCTGGGCCCACAGCGATAGGTGGGTTTTTGCGGACTTCAAGCTGCAGAAACTTGTTTTCAGACCGAGAAATCAATCAACAAAAACGAAAGGTTGCTTTGCTATATGTGCCATGGTCCAAACATGGTGTATGGGTGATTCCAAAAATTATGGGTTGGGGTTAAGTTTTGACACCCATGAAACATCATGAAACCAGACAATTGGGTCAGGTTTTTTGTACTGACAACCCTTTTTTTTTTCCGGGAGTAAAATAGCTCGAACTGATCCCGTCACTGGTACTCATTAAGTTTACACCTACATAGATCATTTTCATGTCATGGATGTGTCTAAAAATAGGCTACACCCCCAAAGTAATTATTGCAATACGGAAAACAATGATAGTTCATACTGGATTGCAAGAATATTGCAAGGACACTATTTTCAGACAAATCATCATGGATGTTCAATGGATGTTCATAGAACTAGCATTGATCTCACCATGAATTAGCTTCCCGTTGAGCCTGAGCACTGAGTCAACTCGCAATGGCATGGAGGCACTGAAAACCCTGCAGTGAACATTGTTTAAGATTGGGGTATACGGTATAAACGTAAAACCCCCAATAGCAATTTCACTAGGGAAAATGACGACAGTGACGACAATCCATTACATGAAATGAGGTTTGGAATAAACGATGCACGGGCGAGACTTGGACTGGTCATCACCCAGAACTCAACAGCATCCCCCTGTGGTCGCCAAACCCGTCGCGAAATGAGTCGACATGCCAGGTGCCACCAGCCGCGATCATGGGAGGTTGGCTCCAACTTCACCATTAGTTTGCCATTGACCACGGACATCTGCCGAGGCTTTCAGGGAAAATGACCGGGACATTTCCATGGATTTGCCAGCTATGTTGAACAATATTGTATGGTTGTGGATGGTTATGGGATGGTTATGGGGGTGGTTTTTCAAATTTTAGCGTCTTAAAAATGCAGGATTGCCTGGTCAGTCAGCGGGCGTGTCTTATGATTTATGGTACTACAGATTTGACACACCTTTGTCTCGGGGCACCACACCAAAACACATGACATCTTCATGGTCAAGTAAATCAACAAAACGGCAGAACTCTACATGTTTGATGTGTTTTGATTTGTAATGTGCTGTGTATGTACATATATATATATATATATATGTTAGTTAATTGCTCTTAGGAAGAATTGTCTTAGGAAGATGCTATACATAATGTTTTAATGGAAAAATGTCTACTTATAGTAGCACTTGGTGAACTGAAGCAGTAGACGACAAGACAAAATCATGTAGATAATATATATATATATATATCACATCATATATCACATCATATACCTTGTCATGTTATATCTTCTCCTGTGTTTCAAAACATATATATAAATATTCTGATATATATATATATATATATAATCAAAGGAAGTTTAGAAGTCAAACTTCCGGCAATATGGACAGATGGAAAAGCAGAGGTGGGAAGAGCCAGAGAAGAGAAGAGAAGAAGAAAGAAGAAGAAAGAAGATCAGAGAATAGAAAGAGTCAGAGGAAAGAAGATGCAGGTGCACGAAAAGGCAGAAAAGTTGCAAAAGACTGTGTTTTTCAAATGATTTGTGGCTCCGGAGGGTCGACAAGTAGGCTCGCTAAAGCGGCGGGTGCGGAGCCATCTGGCCAGATGAGAGATGAAAAATTGCACGCCGTTGCAAAACACACCATTCTCGAAGCACGTTTGGAAGTTGAGAGGATGAAAAAATGCACGCCGTTGTGGCGCGAAGCACCTTTCGAAGTCAAAAGTGTAAAAATCTAACGGTCTCAGACCAGTTTTGGAAGTTGAGATGATGAAAAAGTGCACGCCGTTGTGGCACGAAGCACATTTCCAAGTCAAAATGTACAAAACACCTCAGTGTCGGACCGCTTTTGGAAGTTGACATTTCGAAAAAAGTGCGTGCCGTTGTGGCGCAACGCGCAGCACATTTCCAAGTCAAAATGCTAAAAGCACCGCATACTCGGACCACTTTCGAAAGTTCAGATGTGGTTTTGCATGGCAGGCGCAAGGGATTCTGCACCTTGCCAAAAGTGAGCAAAACGTGAGGGTTTTGTAGCATTTTCAAAAACGATGGCAGGAATTGGACAAAGATGCATATCGCGTGGCAAGCGCAGTACAAGAAACATGTTCATCAGAGATGTTAGTAGGTCAGGGCGCTGATTTCCTGAGAGGGGTTGCATTTTGGAGCATCAGATCTTCAGGTTTGCTAAGATGATTTTGCGTGACAGGTGCAGGCAGGCGCAGCACTTTACACGGATAGAGTGGAAAAATCGCAAAAGGCATGCATTGGTACAATGCCGTCAGCTCTGCACTCAACTTTCTATTTTTGCAGGAAGTCTCGCAGAATTGCTTCGTTTTTGATGTTGTCAACTTCGAAAATTGAGGATGTCTTGCAGAATAGCTTCGTTTTTGACGTTGTCAAGTTCAAAAATTGAGGAGTCTCGCAGAATTGCTGCGCTTCTGATGTTGTCAAGTTCAAAAATTGAGGAAGAAGTCTCGCAGAATAGCTTCGTTTTCAAGCTGGCAGATAGATAGGTAGATAGTAGATAGATGGACAGATAGGCAACTAGAACTAGAACTACAACTGCAACAACAACTACACGACACTACCACTACAACAACTACAAATGCAAAAATACAAAGCTACAGAACACTAATTACACTGCACTACACTAACAACACTGCAGCTATAACTACAGCTATAACTACAGCTACGACTACTATTACTACTACAGCTACAGCTACAACTACAAGTGCAGCTACACTACATTACACTACACTACTCTAAATACATTACACTACACTACATTATTACACTAGAACTACAACTACAACTACACTACATTACACAACAATACGCTACACAAATTATACTACACTACGACTACAACTGCAACTGCAACTACGCTACACTACACTAATTATACTACGCTACACTACACTACACTACGCTACATACACTAACTAAAACTACAGCTACAACTACGACTACACTACTTTACACTACACTACACCAGACTACACTACAGTACACAACACTACAGCACACTACACTACATTACATTACACTGCCCTCGTTATACCACACCACAACTACAACTGAAACTACACTACACTACCGGTAACTACACTACACTACAGCTACAACTCCACTACACTACAACTACAACTACAGCTGCACTACACCACACTACATCCAGCAGTTGTGGGTGAGGTGAACACTGCAACCATGGCAACCACTCCAAAAAACACAACTCCAACCACCTTTCGGTCCATCAGTGGATTCGCTCTGCCATCCGTGATTCACAACAACCAACCTCTCCTATAGTGTCCTATCTTTGAAACTTCCGCCACCGCCTTGTGCGGTACTACTGGTATACTGTATATCAGTAATTAATTGGTATCGGTGTATATATATATATATATTATATATATATATATATATCTATACAATTATATATGTGAGTTTGTCTTAAAATAGGGTACCCCTACATCCAATGGTCGGTTCATCGTGCTTCATCCCTATTAAAAATCAACATCTTTGGGTTATACCGAGCCCCAGCCCACCTCGATGCACTTCTGTGGCACCGAGCTGTCGGTTCCATGGCGATATTGGTACCTGGCAGGATTTCTGGATGTGTTTTTCTTTGGTGGAAAATTCCCGAGAGCGTCTGAGCGCAGGGTTCTTCCAATAGTGGGGGTCTGTATCTCATCTTCTCATCTTCACACCTTCTCATCTTCACACCTTCTCATCTTCACACCTTCTCATCTTCACACCTTCTCTCACACCTTCTCAATTTCACATCTGCTCATCTTCACATCTTCTCTCACATCTGCTCTCACATCTGCTCATCTGCACATCTGCTCATCTTCACATCTTCTCTCACATCTGCTCATCTTCACATCTGCTCATCTTCACATCTTCTCTCACATCTGCTCATCTCACATCTGCTCATCTTCACATCTGCTTCATATCTTCTCTCACATCTTCTCTCACATCTTCTCTCACACATCTGCTCATCTTCATATCTTCTCTCACATCTTCTCTCACATCTGCTCATCTTCACATCTGCTCATCTTCACACCTTCTCTCACATCTTCTCACCTTCACATCTTCTCTCCTTTCTCTCTCCTTTTTCTCTCTCTCGCCTTCTTTATCTTTCTCTCTTTAGGCCGAGGGTGGTGCCGGCGGAGAGTCACGAAACGTCAACCCTTTCGCACGAAATGAGGGTCGATCGTCAAAAACTGAAGAAAAATTGCGGTTTTACTTGTGCTAAAGCAACCCTTTCGCACGAAATGAGGGTCGATCGGCAAAAACTGAGGTAAAAGTGCGATTTTACTTGTGCCGGAGCAACCCTTTCGCACGAAATGAGGGTCGATCGGCAAAAACTGAGGTAAAAGTGCGATTTTACTTGTGCTAAAGCAACCTTTTCGCACGAAATGAGGGTCGATCGGCAAAAACTGAGGTAAAATTGCGATTTTACTTGTCCCGGAGCAACCCTTTCGCACGAAATGAGGGTCGATCGGCAAAAACTGAGGTAAAATTGCGATTTGACTTGTCCTGGAGCAACCCTTTCGCACGAAATGAGGGTCGATCGGCAAAAACTGAGGTAAAAGTGCGATTTTACTTGTGCCGGAGCAACCCTTTCGCACGAAATGAGGGTCGATCGGCAAAAACTGAGGTAAAATTGCGATTTTACTTGTGCTAAAGCAACCCTTTCGCACGAAATGAGGGTCGATCGGCAAAAACTGAGGTAAAATTGCGATTTGACTTGTGCCGTTCTTGTCTGTGTGTAAAGCGCCTGTGTGTAAAAAGCGTCTGTGTGTAAAAGTTCTGTGTGTAAAAGCGTCTGTGTGTAAAAGCGTCTGTGTGTCAAAGCGTCTGTGTGTAAAAGCGTCTGTGTGTAAAAGTGTTTGTGTGTAAAAGTGTTTGTGTAAAAGTGTTTGTGTGTAAAAGCCTCTGTGTGTAAATGTGTTTGTGTTGAAAGCGTCTGTGCGTAAAAAGCGTCTGTGTGTAAAAAGCGTCCGTGTGTAAAAGCGTCTGTGTGTCAAAGCGTTTGTGTGTAAAAGCATCTGTGTGTAAAAGTGTTTGTATGTAAAAGCTTCTGTGTGTAAAAGTGTTTGTGTAAAAGTGTTTGTGTAAAAGCTTCTGTGTGTAAAAGCTTTGTGTGTAAAAGCGTCTGTGTGTAAAAAGCGTCTGTTTGTAAAAGTTTTTGCGATGCAAACTATTGTCTTGCACTTCTCACTATCCTGTCTTGATACTCCTCTTCTCGACTGCCTATAACACAGCTTTCATATACCGTTTCTAAAATTGCATCTCCATACTAACAAGAGAAGACCCTGCTCCTCTACGCTCTCGGGCCATCCGTTGTCTAGTGTGGTTGGATGGTTGGTTTCCTGAAATTCTGTGGTTCTTCAGGTTCAACTAGTGAATAATTGAAATTCATGGAAATTCGATAATGATCAAGAGTGGTTCTTCAAATGCAAGTTTTTGTTTGGTGGTTTGAAAAGAATGGGTCTTGATCAATGTTGAACAACTGAATGTACGGATTTACCATGATTGATCCATATTCGACTACCAAAAAGACAGTGACTTGAACTCTTTACTCCATGTAATTTATTCTAATTACCTTGAACATCCACCAAAAAGAGAGCGACTTGAACGCTTTACACCATGACATTGATTCTAATTACCCATGAACACCCACCATCTTGATTTGATTTTCCTGTAAACAATCGGGGATTTCATAAGATATCTGGAGGTTTCCCATGCCCATGATCAGCAGAAGTTAGCTAAGTAATCTGGGGATATCCCAGTTACAAGCTGTGTCACAGATGGACAAGGACCCTGAGAACCCAGTGATCCCCAGTGATTCAAAGGCTGCATGGTTTCTAGGAGACCGGTTGGATGAAGTTTCGTACACAAAGGATTCAAGGGGACCAACAAAAAAGACAGGAAACCGGTAAGACCCTGACGTGACATGAAGAAAACAAATTTGTCAATGTACTTTCACCAAGCGGCACTTGATACGGGGGTTGGACTCTGCAATTTTTCGGTGGTTGGATCAAACCAGTCGGCAGTACCAGCCCTGATTCAACCTCGGGTCCCAGCTCCCATTGCAATTCTGCAACAGATCTTAATTAGTTCTGAGCCCCTGAAAATGTGAATGGTGCAGGATTGGCAGATGACATTTACTGCAAGTTTTGATGCCCATGTGAAACTCGATGAACCATCACGATGTAATACTTGGGGCTGGCCCTAGGTCGCCAGGTCAAGCCTATCGATTCGCAGTCGCAGTTTTCTGGATCCAAAGATCATGGCCGTCCCGTCCCAGCGGAGAACAGTACGGCTACGGGGACCCCGCCGGCAGAACTCAAGCTTGCAATGTGGCGAATTGGCCAAGTAGTCACTGAGTTTCTCTTCAACCTGTGCGATGGGACAAGATCTGGAGCTTCCGCTGGTCATTCCATGACGAAGCGACGGATGGCTTGCAAACAACATTTTACCAACCAGTCACCAGTCACCATTTCAGCTACCTCCCTTTGTATATATATATATATATATATACATTTCATAATATCATAACATATATTTAAATATCAAAATCATTCAATATCATTCAATATCATTCAATATCATTCATTATCTGTGCCTTAAAACTAAAACATTCACTACGATTCCTACCGGAGCCAGGACTCTTCTTACCGCTCCAGCTGGCCTCATCTCGACTTGGTCTTCGAATCACTGGAGAGGCTCCTAACTTATCGGGCCGCATCCTGGATGTTTCTAATATGCTTCCAATATGTGTTACCATCTGGTTATGACTAACATAGCCATGGAAAATCCCTAGTAAATGGAGGTTTCTAGCTGGGAAAATCATCTATAAATGGGCCATCTATACCATGGCTATGTTAAATAACCAGAGGGTAAAATAAGTGGATGTTAATATCTAGTTACGTGATACCCAATATGTTTCCATCATAAAATACCACAAGATATGTTTTTGATATGTGTTAAATTCAAATTCAATCATGATTTTCTGACAAACAAACAATGAGCATATGTACTTGGACATTTTGTCAGACCAAGCTGAGGAAATCCTTCACAAAACTGCGAGTAGCCGCCCAATCTTCGGATGGGAAACTTATTTCCTGTAAACGTGAGAACCTATTCATCAGCCATCCCCAGCATTTTCCAAGGACAGGTCAAGTCTGACACAGCTGGGTGGAATGATTTGAATGCCGGTAGGCCACAGATCCTTGGGTACAGAAAGCCACATTTTTTTGGGGGGGGATAGCCCTGGGTTGAGGCACCTCTGGGACATTTTGAATCGGTTCCCATCCAGATTCGGGAGCTTTTCAAACGTTGTCACGCCATGTCACACCTTTTTTTTCAGGGGCTGCAAAAGCACCAGCCCTTTGAGCACAAAAGATAGAACATGTATTCATAGTAAGATGCTACTGAGATGAATGATGCATAATGTTGCTGATAGAAACCAGTTCCTCTTGGCTATCATATATCAATCAACAAAAGGTTCATCGTGAAGAGGTTTCCGTGGTGCCCTGTCCTCGTCTCAGAGGCTTCCGGTAACTCAACCTGCGTCACCGACGTGGATCCCCTGATCATCCTGATCGCCTGGAAAAAGCTTCCATCAAAAATGGCCATACTTTGGGGTTTGCACCATTTTGGGGAACCGCCATGGGACATAGACCCAGACCAATTGAATTTCATGACTTACCGTAATGTGACGCTTTGCTGAAATTCATGTATCCCAGATTCAGCATGCTCCATCCCAGCAGATTGGCTCAGAGACCCCTCTTTCCCAGTTTTGGATGGAGATTTTTTATGCGGAAAACTTCATGTTTGATCCTAAAAATAGAGGTGTTGTGTTGATTTTCCATCGAAGCAGTCCATTGACTCCTAGGACCTGCAAATTTATCCAATTTAGAATTGTATACCGGGTTTGTGAGAAAAGATACAGGGTATATACACCAAAATGATATTATTATCATCAAATATCCAATCAAATTCAATATGTGTTTCTTTTTTATTATGATGTTTGGGTATATCCAGCCTTCTATAGCATGTGGCATCTATGGAGTCCACCCGCGGCTAGCTAAGTTTCTCATCTCACCTCCCACTATGTCCACAATGTCAACAGAAACAACCTAGGCTGGAACAATATGTTGACTGCATTTTTGCAAAGGGTACCAACTGTTAATATACACAAAGACAAACAAAAAGAGTTCCTTATCCTTATATATAATCTGTCCAGAACATGGAGCTGCCAATTAAGGAACGATACTCTTTCCAGTCAACATCCATTAACCAAGAACGGATTGCATCAGGAACATCACAATTGAATTGAGCGGCGACCATTCGAGGAAATGGTCGTTCAAAATTCAAAAATGAGGCACAAATACTTCCCCATTTTAAGCGATATATGATATATGAATAGGGAAAACCATATGATAATCCATGATAATCCATTATCCATTGGAGTGTTCTTTCCCAAAAAAAACATCAGATTACATGATAAAGGTTGCAGATATGATATGAATATTATATATATATATATTATATTATATATATATTATTATTATCATCATGTAATATTATATATATATATTATAACTTTTAGATGGTTTAGATGATAATCAACGATGTGTTTCCGCCAAAAAAATCCTCCAGAGCCATCTGACCGGGATCCCCCGACGGGGCTGAGTTGGCTTCACTGGACTCGCTGCCACGCCGGTTCTCCGCCCGGCCAAGGCGCTCCTGTGGCCATTCATCCCATATCAATAGGGGGTTCCATGTGTTTTCGAGATCATGTTGGCCTGTTGGCGGCTCTGAAACTTTCCAGGGTTGGTTCAACAGTTTTCATAGTAGGGAAGGATGGAAATGCTGTACTGGGCAGACGTCGTTTCTTACCCCAGGCACCCAGAAGTTACCCCATCCCCATGGCACACAGGGTTACCCCAGGCAAACCGGAAGTTACCCCAGGGACCAAATCCTATTGGCACACTGGTACCACGCCATCGTTGGTTTGGCAAACAAAGTAGTTAAAATGTGTCCGTGCCATTGCGAAACACATATTTAATTCCATCTCCTTCGGTGATAAAACCAAAAAATACATCAGTAAGTTAAAGTCATAGGCGCTGCCCATGTGGGCCTCTCCCCATTCCCCATAGGCACACCACGATTTGGCACAAGATCTTGTCATCGGCACTTGTTACAACATCGACCCAGCTCCCAAACTTGAACCCACTAGCACCAAATGGCAGGCACACCGATGTTGGCACAAGATCTGTTGTGCTGCACAATATCATTGAAATACCCAGGGCCACACATTCTCTTTGACCGAGCATGCCACTGCGTTTGGATGTCACAAGTATCAAACAAAGTATACTCATAATAAACAAACACGTTTATGACAACCAGTGTGCCCCTGCATTGTGTGCGCTGCAATGGACAAACAAACAATAAGAAGGTTTATGACTACAAATGGTAGATTCATGTAGGTGAAGTTCAGCGTGCCTATGCGTTTTTGTGGTCTTACAATAAGCGATGATCCAATGGAATAATAATATCATATATATCCGTTATACACACTTCCCCACGGCACACCGACCTGAGACAACTTCAGGGGAGCCGAGACAAGAAACAACATGAACCCAGTAGGTCAACAAATCATTCACATCCACATCTTTAACATGTGGATGTGATCACCGATAGCGAACAATTCGTATGAAGATCTAGCAAAATTAATTGTGCCAGCACGCATCGAAAGCCTGCATCTGCCGCCAAAAAGTTGTACAATTAAGCAACAAACGGGTGGCAAAAAAAAATACATGCGTGGAGTAAAACAAAAAGGATACTGCGTAGAAACATGTCATTGTGCACATCACCAATAATATATATATATACATACATACATACATACATATCTGGTTGGTGGTGTCAACCCTTCTGAAAAATATGAGAGTTCGTCAGTTCGGATGATGAAATCTTCAATTTTTCTGGAAAGTCATAATCCATTCATGTTCCAAAGCACCAACCAGATAATCCCATTATTAATCCCATTATTAATCCCATTATTAATCCCATTATTAATCCCATTATTAATCCCATCATTAACCACATTTATATATATATACCATTAACCAGATATACATACCACCACCATTACTACCATTCACCACCATCAACCAGATATACATACCACATTTATGACATGTCATACTCATCTATAGCCACTATGGGCGCCCAATAAGATGGTCAATCTTATTGGGTGCCAAGGAGCCGTGGATTTCACGCGAAATGGCCTGGCGAAATGGGCTGGGGCGAAATGGGCGTGCGCAAGCCATGGAGATGTTCACATGGAAAACTCGGTGTTGCTACAAGAAAGATGATATGTTATCTTTGTATTATGTTATGATTAAACTCAGAAAGATGATTCTACAAAATCATGTTTTCTCGCGATGTGGAGAAAAGAAGTTGAAGGACAATGGCATAGACTTGTCAATTATTTCCATCTTTGATGCAGTGGCCAAATTGGTACATCTGAACCACTCATGTGTATATCATATATTGTTTGTGCATATATCTTCTCAGGAGTCATACGTATATAAACGTTTGGTCAAGACCATTGACTGTTGGAAGTAAAAATCTGCATCACTAGGGAATATTGAGTCATTGACCACTGTTTCGTACAGTACCGGTTGCTATCTCACTATTCAAAACGTGCTGATCTCTTCAGCCACACAAAGTAGATTTGTGACGGCTACATGGCTACATATGTATATATTATATATATATATATATATGTATAATATAAATATGTGTATAAATATATATATATATGCTCACATACGGATAAAGAGTATTATATATTGTGTAGCAATAGAGAGACAAACACGAAGATAGAGAGAGAGAGAGGGGGGGATAACGAGACAACAGACAAACATGCCACAAGTTAATACATCATACATCTCATATATATATAAGTATATACAAGTATAACGTACTGTAACCCTTTCTAAAAGGATTTGATGGTTTTGGGGCAAAAACATCCGTTGTCAATCAACTCGATACAGCTATTCCCGTGTCCTATTCCAAATCTTCTACATCAATTCGTAGATCTCGCCCGCAAACCAACTCACCCTCGAACCATCTCTCCCCAAAAGCCTTACGTAAACATTGTACATCTATTCATGTTGTCCAGGGCTCCTACGGTGCTTAACTATACGTTTCAGTGTGAATTCCCCATTAAAGCAATGATGTGTCCCCTTTTGGGAAAATGTCCAAACAAACTGCTCACAACATCCAGAACTGCGCTCCATCTTGTGGGGAGGAGCTGTGGCTCCGTGTCAACTTTTGGATCGTTCATTCTGTTTTTTCAAATATGTTGCGCCTATGATGACAAATGACTCTTAAACAAGTTAGTTCGTCATGCGCTGAAAACATAACCAAAATGGAGGTACTGTACCATATAAGGCCATATTTTGTGGGGATATTCCCTTACATAGGCCTTATATAGGCCTTATATATGGTAGGTACCTCCAATTTAGGTTCCTGTTGCATGGCCATTGATTCTGTTGCATACCCTTACTGCCATACATTGAGTCTACATTCCCCGTTTTGGGACAAACCCTTGTTTTGGGACAAGCCCTTCAATCAACCAAGTAGATACCCCAAAACCGGCAATATGTCCAGGGGGACCGTTGAGGTACCTAAACACCTACCAGATGCAAGGTCTATGTAAGGTATGCTTGCGGGGATGTCCCAAAAAGATATGGCTTTAGATAGTTACCTCTAGTCATTATAGCTATGGAACATTACCAATTTATAGATGATGTATAATGATTTACCTGTTAAAAATGGTGTTTTCCCATATCTATGTTAAATGACATAGAGGGTAAACCCACTTTTATCCCATTAAATTTCATCATAAAGTCACCATTTTCATGGTGATTTACCCAATTGTTCATGGTCAAAGCCCATTGTCAGCTGATTTCCCCCGAAAAATGATGTGCCAAGATGCTCCGCCGTGCGCTCCACCAAGGGGCCCCTGGCCGCCACCGGAACGGCACGCGGAACCTGTGAAACAACGCGACGGCGCGACTTGATGTATCAAAAAAATATAAGTAGTATATATTACTATGGTTTGACGTCAATAATATGTTTAAGATATGTTTATATGTAGTTTCATGTCGTTTTATCATTGTTTTTGTCATCATTTTATAATCACTATTGCTATTGTTAGTATGATCATTGTGTTATTTTTATCATCGTTATTATAGCTATCATCGTTATCACGTGGTTCATTGTTATCATGTTTGCCAGTTTCATTAGTATGATCATCATTGTCATTATTTATCATTAGTATCAGTATTATAAACATTAGTGTCCTTTATTGTTAGTATTACTATATATAATTAACATATAGATACATCGACATCTACAATAAAATGTATATCCATGATGAAGTTCCACAAGAGCTGCCAGCATGTTAAGTCTTGACCCACCCCAGATTCGGCCTGGACCATCGAGTAAGATTCGATTTGTAGACATCATCAACACTTAAGATTCTACCATCATTTAATATTATATATATAATATATAGCTATACACATAGATTTATATTGCATGTTTCTATAGAATATCCTCAATAATCATCAATAATCCCTAGTTTGTCGGTTCTACACACACTGGTTGGTGGTGTACCTACCCCTCTGAAAAATATGAGTTCGTCAGTTGGGATGATGACATTCCCAACTGAATGGAAACATAAAAGTAATGTTCCAAACGACCAACCAGATTTATATAATTGGCTCCCACTGGAATGTTGTATAAGCCTTAAATTCCATCATTGTATACGTTACATATAATTTTAATCAGCTAAAGATTCTACCATCATTCGCCTCCCACGTGTTCGCTGGTCGAATTTGGCAAAGTCTCCATTCGAGCTAGTCAACGTGAGATCACCCTCCTAAAAATGGAACAAACATGATTTGAAAGCTCCAACCAGATTTGTTACCAGATGTCATGGGTGATACAGTGGTAAATCCAATAATAAACCTCCAATTTTGGGAGGGTCTGTACCACCCGTCTCTGGTTAATGTCTTTTTATGTGGTAAATCCAATTCTCAATGATCCCCAGCATCACTATAAATGGGTGGTAACAATCATCTCTCAATTTGTTTTTTTCCTGGATAATGTGGTAAATCGAATCACAAATAATCCCAAACAACACTATCTCCAAATGATTTAGGACTAGATTTCTCACATTACTCACCTATTTTTTTTCCGTGGCGAGGTCCCTTTCTGAATGGCGGCCTCCCGTGGCAAGTCCAAGTCCACTGACTCAGTCGTCACGGGTGCAGCATATAACTGCTTCTCCTGTTGCTACAACTGGCAAACTATGAAAATATGAATGGGATGTATATATGGGATATGGATATTCATATTTATATATTATATACAGTATATACATATATATATATATTGTAAATGGACAGATATTAGTCATATGATAGTGGAATTTATTGACCCCCAATGATGGGACCCCCATTCCCATTTAAGCCTCCCATGCTACTCCCATGAGAAACCACTATTCTGTATAATATAACATATCATAATATATTAAAAATTACTTTACTTCGTGTGATCCCCACCATGACATTTATACATTTTGTTACTGGCAAATCTTCTGGCATTCTATCTGACACATCTTCTGGCATTCTATCTGGCATTCTATCTGGCATATCTTCTGGCATTCTATCTGGCATATCTTCTGGCATATTATCTACTCAAATCTTCTGGCATTCTATCTGGCAAACATTGTGGCACTTTATCTGGCATATCTTCCGGCATTCTATCTGACATTTAATCTGGCATTCTATCTGGCATACCTTCTGGCATTCTATCTGGCATATCTTCTAACATTCTATCTGGCATATCTTCTGGCACTCTATCTGGCATATCTTATGGCATTTTATCTGGCATATCTTCTGGCATTCTACCTGGCATATCTTCTGGCATATGTTCTGGCATATCTTCTGGCACTCCATCTGGCATTTTATCTGGCATTCTATCTGGCATATCTTCTGGCATATTATCTGGCAAATATTCTGGCATTCTATCTGGCAAACATTCTGGCACTTTAACTGGCATATCGTCTGGCATTCTATCTGACATTTTATCTGGCATTCTATCTGGCATACCTTCTGGCATTCTATCTGGCATATCTTCTGGCATATTATCTGGCAAATCTTCTGGCATTCTATCTGGCAAACATTCTGGCACTTTATCTGGCATATCTTCTGGCATTCTATCTGACATTTTATCTGGCATTCTATCTGGCATACCTTCTGGCATTGTATCTGGCATATCTTCTAACATTTTATCTGGCATATCTCCTGGCATTCTATCTGGCATATCTCATGGCATTTTATCTGGCATATCTTCTGGCATTCTATCTGACATTCTATCTGGTATATCTTCTGGCATTCTATCTGGCCGTTGAGGTCCAGCAGTGCACACTGAGCTGGGAAGGTCCCAGGTTGAGGTCCAGCGGTGCACACTGAGCTCTGAAGGTCCCCGGTTGGGGTCCACACTGGTCCCTGGTGGTGCACACTGAGCTGGGAAGTTGGCAAAGAGCTTGGCCAAGAGTTGGCAAGGCGGAAGTTGAGGTGGAAGTTGATGCAGACATGGTCGAGGAGAAACAGGCGGAGGAGAAGGAGGAGGAGGAGGACGAGGAGGAGGAAGAGGAGGAGGAGGAGGATAGCTAGCCGAGGAGGAGGGGGAGAAGGAGGAGGAAGAGGAGAAGAACAACTCTGATAAAATCTAACAACCCTCACCTGGCAGGTGGGGAAAAATATAATAGACCATTTATATATGATCTATATATTATATTATTTATATATAATAATATGTTATTTATATATAATATGATATTATAATATAGTATAATATACATATATATATATATATATATCATATAGATCATATATAAATGGTATTTGCCATCCCTCCAACAGTTCGACCCCGAGAATCTTTTCCTTTTGTTAGAGGAAGGTAGTCTTCCAACCCTCCAAACTATGGCAGGGTCTATGTCGGAAGAATGCAAACTATGGCAATTGTTGGTGATACGAAGAGGCTACAATAAGATATGACCAACAAATAATCATGATTTGGCTTTGTATATGGGAATTCATAGCAAGATAGATGGACGCTGGACTGTAAAAGAACCCCTTTTTTTATACAGTGAGATAGTTGGTATATGATTATTTGCAGTCCAAGGGACCGCATCGGGGTAGTTACAAAAATTGACAAGCCAGGACAAGCCCCTTACGTAACTTACGGATGGTTGTCGATTTCATGCTCAGACTGAAAAAAGTTGGAGTTAGAATGTTCAGCAATCCAGAGTCACGGCCTTCCACAAGGCTTCGGCCAGTCGACTGATCTCAGATTTTGCAGCCTCAGCTCAGCCGATTCCCAAGTCACCATGAGTTTCAATACTAAAAGGATCATGGCAAGGATGATTTGGGGTACCCCCATGGATTGGAAAGCTCCATTTGTATATGTGGTCCCCTGGGCCTTTCAATCCACAATGCAAAATAGATCAAATCACCATAAGAATTTAACCACATGTTCATAAACTCAACGGTCACAACATGGATATCTCCAAACATATCCCGAAAAGTCAAGAAACTCGGCACATTTGAAAAGTGGATTTACCCAGCTAGAAAATAGTGGATCTTTCCAGTTCGCTATGTAAACGTTTACCAGAGGGTATATCAGAAATAATTCCTAGCTAACCCAGTAACCAACTTACCTATTTCACATTTGAAAAACCAGTTTCGCCAGTTTTCTTCGGACCAAGTCCGGCGTTTTCTCATGTTTTCTCCAGGACTCCACGCAGCCAACTCCTCCTGTAAGCGTGTCTCGTTGCCACGCGACTCCTCCATGGGATTCAAGTAAGGAGAAATCGAGGAAGACACTCTGCTTATATAGATGTGCCATGTGAACATGTACTATATCGATATATATATATACATAATATCATTTAATCGTATATACATATATATGTATACAATTATACATTATATAAATAGTTGAAAGTAGTTGAATATAACTGTATATCATATCATGATAATGATATATCACTATATATCATGATATATCATTATAATTCTTTATATATATATATATACATATGTGGTATATTGTTTCCACAAACATATGTTGGTCTTTCCCGCCTCGAGCTGCTTCTTCAAGAAGTCGATCTCTTGGGCCTTGGCCATCCAGGGGATCCTTAAGATACCATGGTTGTTGAACAATTCTAAGATAATCATGGATGTTAACAATTAAATAGATATATGCTTTAACATATTTTAATCATAGTCAAGTCAGTTTGAAGATGTTTGAACTCAGTGTCAGAATCTTACCCATACTCCAAGGCTGGCCATACTCCAAACCAAAATGGCTGAAGCACTTTGAAAGGCGGTATATTGGTGGTATCCGTGCATCCTATGGTATGCGATGAAGCATCGGTATGCGTTACTCCTGTAAGTAACCTGGACTCACTGTGTGGAGTACGATGTTTGCACGGTATGCCTTAACTTCGCGGAGTGCGCTCCCACACAGGTATACAGTTGAGCATGCCTATTTCAAGTTTAAGGGTATTGTCCAGGCACTGCCATGATAGGCGATGAAGTTCAGGTATGCGTTCTCCCTGTAGATAGCCTAGAGCCACTATATGTGGAGAGTTGTGGAGTACGATGTTTGCATGGTATGTGTTCCCTTTGCGGAGTGCGCTAAATTTGTGGAGTGTGTTAAACTTGTGGAGTGCGTTCCCGCTCAGGTATGTGGAGTACGATATTTGCGTGGCATGCGTTAACTTTCCCAGTTTGGGCGACAAGGGGGTTTGCGTTTGGCCAAATATGTGAATTGGATGTGAAATGAATGCCTTTCCAAGCCTATATGTGTGGTGCCCAACAAATGCTTGTGGTTGTTTTAATTCGTTCCTCTTGAGAAAATCCTGCGAAAAACCTGGGATCATCATCCAAAGTAGGCTGTGCTAACCCTGCGGAGCCCTGCTGCACATCCCTTCACCTACTCGAAACTGGGATGTATCTATTTTGAACACAGGGATCTGTACTACCTTTTTATGCTCCATGTATGTCACATAAAGATCCAAATGGAAGTAAATCTTCAATACATGGAGCGCTAGGGATATGGGATGATTCCCCACCTGCCAGGTGAGGGTTGTTAGATTTTATGTCAGTTGCCTCCTCGTCCTCCTCCTCCTCCTTCTCCTCGTCCTCCTCCTCGCCTCCTCCTCCTCCTCGTCCTCCTCGTCGTCCTCGTCGTCCTCGTCCTCCTGCTCAACTGCGACTCGCGATCCACAGTGTTCGCTGTCGGACCTCAACCACGACCATCCACGCCCAGTGTTCCCTGCCGGACCTCAACCGCGACCATCCACGCCCAGTGTTCCCTGCCGGACCTCAACCACGACCATCCACGCCCAGTGTTCCCTGCCGGACCTCAACCACGACCATCCACGCCCAGTGTTCCCTGCCGGACCTCAACCGCGAGTATCCACGCCCAGTGTTCCCTGCCGGACCTCAACCACGACCATCCACGCCCAGTGTTCCCTGCCGGACCTCAACCGCGAGTATCCACGCCAAGTGTTCCCTGCCGGACCTCATGTAGGAAGATATGGGACAAAGAATGTGCAGAAGAAAGTTAGAAAGAATGTCAGAAAGAATGTCAGAAGATATGCCAGAAGATATGCCAGATAGAATGCCAAATAGAATGCCAGATAGAATGCCAGATAGAATGCCAGAAGATATGTCAGAATATATGCCAGAAGATATGCCAGATAGAATGCCAGATAATATGCCAGAAGATATGCCAGATAGAATGCCAGATAGAATGCCAGAAGATTTGCCAGATAGAATGCCAGAAAATATGCCAGAAGATATGCCAGATAGATATGCCAGAAGATATGCCAGAAGATATGCCAGAAGATATGCCAGAAGATATGTCAGAATATATGCCAGAAGATATGTCAGATAGAATGCCAGAAGATATGTCAGAATATATGCCAGAAGATATGCCAGATAGAATGCCAGAAGATATGTCAGATAGAGTGCCAGAAGATATGCCAGATAGAATGCCAGAAGATTTGCCAGATAGAATGCCAGAAGATATGCCAGAAGATATGCCAGATCATATGCCAGAAGATATGCCAGATAGAATGTCAAATGGAATGTCAGAAGATATGTCAGATAGAATGCCAGAAGATTTGCCAGTAAGAAAATGTATAAATGTCATGGTGGGGATCACACGAAGTAAAGTAATTTTTTTATTCCTCTGAACATGTGGTACCTCCCATTCCAACGGATCATGTATTTATTATGTTGTTCTTTCAGTAAACTTGCCATGTTCAGGTACACCTTACATTTTTGGACCAAAACATGCAAAAACCATAGTCACTATAGTCAATGGATTGATTTTGTTGGGCATATTTAGAGGAAAGCAAGGTTTTCCACCAAAAAATGCCTTTGTCTGAGAATAGCGCACCCCAGAATCCACTAATGAATCATCACTTTCCGCATTCAAGTTCCCATAAACTGGGTATATACAGTATATACCCCTTTTGCAAGTAGCCAAATGTCATCTTGTTGGTTTTAAATTCCATGATTGTCCCTTTATATCCCAAGTATAAATGTATATGTATATATAATCATATATTTCTATATACATATATTTCTATATACACTGTCTATGTATAACATCTTGTTGCTGAAACTAACCCAGTTCCTGTCTTCTCCAAAGGTCGCACCTGTGCTGCCAGCAGTGGCGCAGGGGGCGGCACCGTCGCCGCAGTCGCCTTAGTCGTCAACAGGACGGTGGTACATCTGGCTACACCGCTTGGGGTGAATTCAGCAAATGGTTGGTTATCATGGGGTCTATTGGGATATCTCCATTAATGGTTAATAATGGTTAATAATGATTCATGGTTAATAGTGATTAATGATTAATAGTGATTAATGGTTATATAATATAATAATGGTGATTAATGGTGATTTACCCTCTGGTAATTTAATAGTTTGCTATTGAAAATGGCCCATTTATAGTTGATTTGCCCATTAAAGATGGTGATTTTCCATAGCTGTGTTAGTTTACCAGAGGGTAGTTGGTATAGAAATGGCGGTATAATGGCGGTCATTTTACCTGCTCACAATCATTACTGAGAATCTTTGGCATGATAAGTGATAGATGGTCATCCAATGGATTATGAAACCAGTAGCCAGCTTGAAACTTTATCCCGGCACAGGGACTGCAGGTCTCAGATAAGTTTTTTGGGTGCCCCGTGCTGCTTTCCCGCCACGTCCAGGGGTGTGGATGGGCGTGGTTGGCCCCGTGACCTCGTAGCAGGAAGGGGCCCCGGAGCTACATGTTGGTTCAGAACCCTATGTGACTATATCGACTATATCCGACTACTTGACTACACATATCTCCAACAGAAATCCTAGTTCTTGTAGCTACTGACCAACTGACCTGCTATAATCAATTGTGACACCCCATGTTGTTGAAATATCCATGCCTAGGTGAGATCCATATGTTTCTCCGGCCCATTGCCGCTGCGGCCCAGACCCTGCCACCGAGACTGGCAGCAGAAGACTGTCTCACAGGTAAAGTTTGGACGGTTTGCACCTGGCTGCTGAAATTCAAAGCTCCATTGAGTGGAGGTAAAACCTTCGGGATGAATCTTGGAACATCCCGGATTTTTTTGCGAGATTTTGCTTGGAAAATCTTCCGGACACATTGAAAAAAAAAGGTTGGTTATCGTGGGAGTTCCCAGTGGGTTTATAATAATCCATGATCCCCAAACTATGTACAGCAAAGGCTAGCAATTCTACCCGTGCATACAAAGTCTATATGTGGTGTCTATGGGATGGTTTTGATTTGAGCCAAAGTCAAGAGGCTATTGCAGGTATGGTAACAATGATCCATCGTGTTTCATGCCGCATGCCAAACATCATAGTATTTACATGTATGTATTTATGTGTATTTACATGGATTTACATGTATTTGCCTTGTTGGTTTCACCCAAACAATTATCCCAATATGAAGCTGTTCCTTGGCTGTTTGATGGTTTCAGCACACACACACAAGAGGTATGAATCACAATCCCAGTCATGGGTATGATCGAAAACATAGTAACTCCAAAAGAACGACTGAAACCAACATGTGTTGATTGCATATCCTTTATCCTCTACTCAATCTAGATCTGGCTAGCTGCTAGTTGTATTTGTTGACCATATGTCTAGGTCGTTCATATCACCACTGAACATCTGGTCCGCCATCTCCAATGTTATCTACCTGAAGACAATCGTAAGTTGGTTCTATCGTGTCGCACATACATACACATATACATTATTATATTATAACATAATATAATGTATTATGTTATATTATATTAGATTATATATATTATATGATATTATATGATATTATATGATATTATATGATATTATATGATATGATATTATATTATATTATATACTATTATATTATATTATATTATATTATATAGATACATCCATCAAAAACAGATTGGACTATTCATGGATTTGCTTTCGCGAAGGGTCATGAAGAGCAATTTTACCACAGATTCCCAGTAGATTCCCCCGGTCATGGTGGATCCATTGAGGTCATAGCTATTCGAAAAAATATGTCCCACAGTGGGGAAATGAACCCCAAAAATGTGTCGAATCGTCATGATTTGTGTAACTGAAATTTCCAGAACCAGATCTTACCACGCTGAATCCCAACACTGGAAGATCATCGGTTAGCCAACCCAGATCCATTTCCTGGGCGTCGCACATGGCATCCAGTAGAGATAGGAGTGGCCATTGCTGGGCCTCGTGTTCACACCACGAAGATGCTGGATTTTGATGACATGATCCATACACCAAGATCTTACCATCTGGTTATGACTAACAGTTCGCCATGGAACATCACCATGCTATTAATAGGTAAACCATCTATTTCTATGGGCCATCGAAAAACCATGGCATACCATGGCTATGTTAGTCATAACCAGAGGGTAATTGTGATACAGTGTGATACAGTATGTAAATTCAGGTTTACACAGCAAAATGCGGATTGAGACAACCAAAACAACGTTTCGCTGCGAAAATTGGCTGGTTCACGGGCCAGAATTAGGCGAAACTCCTTCGGGCAACAGAACAATATGAAGGGGATATCACCGTCTCGGCAACGTTTGTACAGTCGGCAGACAGAATAATATGTCCATCGTTGTAAACGAATGCACATGGACTTGTTTCTCAAGACTGGGTCTGGCATTGATATATGTTCCAAAGTTTTAGATTCTTAAATGATACAATGGTTTAAGATGATGTAAGATGTATGATGGAACTTACTGTACATATTTTCCATTTTGATGAGATCATGGTCATGCTCACACTTTATGTTTACATCATTTTACTTGTGAAAAGACAGCCCAAATTTTGAGCTGAGACCATGGAAGATGACCCTTAGACGGATTCAGAGGGTATTTATAATATATATATATTATACATATTATATTACTGTAGTATATATTTATTCATCATACCCTTCTGGTAATCAGCTCCATGGCTTAAGTTATTTATCATCCCACACTGATAGTTGTTAAAAGTTTAGTGTCCCATGATTCTCCGATTTCATAAACCACCCATGACTTTGGAAAATATGGGAAAATATGGGAAAATATGGGAAAATACATTATAAATGGAGGAATTATCCCATTATTTATAGTCACAACCATGTGGGAAAAACAATGCCATGTTTACCACCCAGTCGACTGGGAATGGTGCAGATGGCCATGGGATTTCCCAGCTATAAATACATGGTGAAACTGAGCTGCCGGGCTATATGATCTGGCGGCCTCGCGTTCAAACCCAAAGCACAGTTTTAAAAACTATTGATACGTATATATATATATATATATAATAAATGCATGTATATTATGCATATATATATACTGTATATATATATATACACATATGTACTGCATATATATATATATATATTATACATATATATATATAGATGGCAATTGGTTAAAACCCTGGTAGCCCAGTGAACACCAAAATAGTTGGCAGATGGGATGTTCATCGAAGATTCGTGTCGTCCCGGATTTGACCCTCCAACGGTTGCAAAACTATCATGGTTGCCGTCCAAAAATGATGACTTAACCATTAAAACAGGTACGTGGTATAATGGGAGTATGTGGGACTATAATTTAATCATATTATATATTATATATATTCTATTATATATATATAGGGGAAATGATGATTCCTAAGGTAGGTCAAATACTCCAATCGGATGAGCTCAAAGTATGGAATATGGAGATACCCTCTGGCAATTTAACGCTTTGCTATTGAAAATGGCCCATAGAATAATAATAGATGATTTACCTCGTATAAATGGTGATTTTCCATAGTTTTTTGTATGTTTACCAGAGGGTATCTACCATCTTTTACCCGATGACCCATGACCCAGTCGCCCTGGCTGTCCCACCTCCAAGCAAGCAGTTGGAAATGGCCTCGGACAGCAACGATCCGGTACTCCGGTGCCGAGTGAAAATATGTACATACACCTGAAAATACTTACACATACACACATATACGTATATACACATACAGACGTGTGTGTATATATATATATATACACACATTACATACATATATATATGATATTATATAATATACATGCACATAATGCACATATATATATATATATACATAGACGTGGCATGACGTGGCCATACGTATGCAAATCAATATGGTATAAAAAGAGTTGCAATCAATTACATCCAACTTGCCAAAAGATGGGAACTTGCCAAGAAAATCGGAGGCTACGAGAGACAACCGGTCCGGTCGACCATGCAACCCCAACCCGGACTAGCTTGGCAGGGACGCATCATGGCTCACACAAACTCCATGGAGAATGGACTTGGGATTTGTTCTACCATCTGGTTATTTAACATAGCCATGGTATAGATGGCCCATTTATAGATGGTTTACCTATTAAAAATAACCAGATGGTAGATGTTTTTAGAATTTTGGTGCAAAGCATCATCTTGAATTTTATGAGGTCAAACATGGTCCAAGTATTGTCCAAGTACTGTACATAGTTGAATGATGTTGAATGTGGTCCAAGAACCTCTGAAAATTCAAGACCTTCGTTCTTCTTTTGGGCAGGCAACATCCGCTTGGCCCCGAGCGCCAGGGACACAGCAGGCATACTGGGGTAACTGGCGACTGTCGGAAGAGATCAGTGTCTATGAGGATGGGGGGATAATCTTGATTCTGATTTTGATGTATACTATTATGTATAAACTTATAAAATACATGTGTTTACATATATATATATATATATACAACTATTCAAATATAACTGAATGCGATTATGATGAGCATTACACATCATGATATATCATGATATATTATGCCATCATCATCATCATCATCATCATCATCATCATCATCATCATCACTATTTTGATACTTGTAATGAGGAGGACCAGAAGACAGAAAAATGACGTCTGACTCCAATGAGATGAGGACGATCAAGAGGTGAAGGAGTTGATGGCTAATGTTACTATGTTCAGTTGAATGGGTTATGGTCGAAGGGAATTTTGTGACGAAATCTATGGGGGCTTCCCATGAAACGCGTGGTTTTTTTCTTCCAAGCTGGTTGAACTTCATAGAGTATAGTCGTGCTAACTTCACGACCAACAGCTGCACTTAGGATTAAAAAGATAGCCAAAGCAGAAACAAGACGTCCCTGGGTCTGTGCAGCACAATGATTCACTGAAACGAAAATCGTGCACTTACTGTGTAGTTCTCAGAGCTCACCGTGATCCATTTTGAGGATCGAAAATCCTCGATGTGCATCCATTTCTAGAGGATTAAATCAATTTTCCAGTCTGGAGATTTGGGAGTATGGCTCAAACTTATTATATCTGATGGAGTATGGCTCAAACTTATTAAAAAACCTCCCAAATTCCCATGGTTTCCGCCCCGCACCTACCGACCATCGCAGGCGGCCCAGTGTACTGCCTGGCGCCATGCCATGGGGTTAAGCCACCAGATCCAGATCATCATCAGCCCTATGGCGCCAGGTCGGCTTGGCAAGTCCCTGGCATCTCCTGCCTCACTGGGGTGTAGGAGCCCATAGTTTGACCTATGCATCTGCAAAAATAAATGAACATGCCCCAAGCTGGGTAGGTTTCAATCAACAACTTGAACGGAACTGAACCAACAAATTCCGACCCCTAAAAAGAACCGGAACCACATCCAACTTTGCGATCCACATCGGTCCACTCTTTTGGACACATCGACACATCGATCGACAGTCCTGAGGGATCCTCAGGTGGCTCAAAAAATTGAATCGCTCGAGGGTCCGACACATCGCCATGGCGTGAAGGCCAAAGGCCAGCGGCCACAGAACTGCTACGAAGTCTGGTGGCGAAAACAAATCAGCTGGGCCCAGCCTTCGATGGGGGGCCTATGGGTTGATGTTCATCGCATTAGTATATATAGTAATATATTCCATATTCTATGAAGATTCCCTTATTGTTGGTGTTACACCCCATTTGTTGCTGGTGAATACCATCATTTTTTCAATCCCATTAAGGCCAACTCTTTGAGCGTTTTGATTTCTCAGGAGCGATGCGAGACCACTCCTAGATCTTCGAACAGTTTTGATGCAAATCCATGCCATTGTTCGAAGCGTTGGCAGGTTGTTTTTGGGAAAACTTTTGCCTGTAGACGATCTTACAAGGATCACGGATATATACTTGTGTCTGAAATTTGGACTAGGATATCCCTGAAACTTGGGAGCTAAGCCTATCAGCAACTGATTTAAGTGCTTCATACTGCTTAGATCTGCTTAGCCTCTGAGCAGATTCATTGGAGATGTGGAGCATCCATGAAGCATTTCCTTCACCCTGCTGAGCCGTTGCGATCGCAAACATCGGACCCCGATTTTTGGGATGACATGGGATGACCGTGGAGGTCGCTTCCGGATCTGCAGTAAGAAATCCAACAAACTTGTGTTGTATCTAGTTTCACTATTTACGGGAGCTTTCTGAAGACCAACAAACCATTGTATTTATGCGCGTTTAGTGTTGTTTAGTAGTGTCTTCATCACATCTACGGAATATTATGTAAGGATACCTACCGTCATGACTGGTTCCTTGGCTCCTTCCACAATGGACCTACGGCCGGTATCACAGATCACCATAGATCACCCAACTTTTTGTGTCTGCATTTGGCAGCCACTGAATCACCGCGTGGAGATCTTTTGCTCCGACGCGTCCTTTCCAGCACGCCGCCTCGATGGAGAATCTCCCCTGGTGACCATCCTGAAATGTTAAGTTCTGGGGTGGTTTACCAATTCACCAACTGGTTCCCAGGTTGACACTTATGAGCTCGATGTGTCAACCCTGACTGGTCAGGATGTGCTGTGGCACATGCTCCATCGGTAATCCCACTTGCTGAAAGCGACTGTCGCCACAGCTTTGAACATCTTAAGCTATGCCCCTGTGTTTTTTTTGGCCACGACCAAAGTTATCGATGTTTTTTGCTCCAAAGGCTCCGCTTAAAACACATGCACTTCATGTAGCTTTGCGGAGTACTTTTCATGATACCCTCTGGTAATTTAACATAGCTATTGAAAATGGCCATTTATAGTGGATTTTCCCATTAAAAATGGCGATTTTCCATAGTTATGTTAGTTTACCAGAGGGTAATAGTAGTTCTTTGCATCTTGAAATTCTCACTGGCCAAGAATTGGTTTGTCCAAAAATAAGGCACCCCCCAAATGATTGTCATGGTTGTGTTCATGACTTTCGGATTAAGATCGTTTTTTCTTGGTCGTATACATATCCAAATGTCCGTACCCTGTATAAAGCCAGAAACACCCAGTTGGTGGTCTATCTTTCTCTCCTTGCATGGTAAATGATGTTGCATCCATCGATGCCATTGGCCAAACATAAACACTGCGCCAAAGGCCTATATCTCAACATATCTCGACAATGTTTCAGCAAACTGTATATAACTGCTATATAAATGGATCGATCGAGACATGGGGTACATTCCCCAAAAAACAATGTTTGATGGCGAAAATTGATGAGCTCCCTATCTTTAGACAGACTTATAATGATCACCATCTATAATATGTTGAATCATGAATGAAAACGTCTGAGTCTAGCTGGGGGTCCCAGATAGTATGATAAAATGATGGTGACATAATTACTGTACTCAGTTTTCACTGGTTGACGGTTGTACCTTCAGCCACCGCTTTTTCGATTGGCCAACCGCTGATCATCATCCCATCACAAGAGGAACTACAGCAAAGCCTCTCTCCTAGTATTGAACACCTGCAAGAATTCCTTGTTTCTGGGAGCATTTTTTTTAATGGGGAAGTTGATAATGATAATAATATATAATAATGATGTTAATAAGTGTTCATCTCCGATGGATGGTATCTTGAAGTTTCCGAGCCTCATGTGACCTGATTCCACCCGAGACATGGCCGTGCAAGGTCCCAAGCCTCAAGCCGCAAGTCGCTCACTGCGCTGAAGAAAGGCCTGCCCGCTGGGTATCTCTGCCACTTGAGTTTGGCCATAGCAACCCCAGGGAGCTCGAAGCCCAGTCATGTTGGGATTGTCATTCCGCCCAGAACAAGGATGGAAACATATGGAAACAATGAACATGAGGGAGGACACAACAACTGAAGTGCAGAAACCGGATTTCTTGGACACTGCCATCACCCAGCTATGTCCCACATCTGTCCAGAACCAGCAAAAGGATTTCCCCTTTCCGGTCAATTCTGGGTGAAAACCCACTGGGGCATCTACCCTCTGGTAAATTAACATAGACCCTGGCAGATAGGGGTTGGAAGATTAGTTTCCATTAAAACTAGGCTATTTTCAGGGTCTATGTTAATTTACCAGAGGGTATCATGCATCACAATAATGTTGAGGCAAGCACATCCAAAATCATCCAAAATTCAACATGGCTCTGAATACGACGCTGAAAAACTCCACTCTGCTAGTTTCATGGCTCAATTCCTGATACGAGACTTTAATCCCATGCCCCTATTATATAATATGAAATATCCCCCACGAGTGGGACCCCAATTCCTGAATGGAACCAATACATTCCACCAAGGGGTGAGGAATGATGATGAACTGTTTGTAGCGGCTCACATATATTAGAGTATATTGGAATCCCATTGGAATCCGAAAAAAAATCATCTACCCTCCAGTAATCACACGCGGCAATGGATTTGACCATTTATAATATGATTTTCCCAGCTAGAAACCTCCATTTATACAAAATTGTCCATTGCCACGTGTGATTACCGGGTAATATTGTAATATTCGGTAATATCATCTATATAAGATCTTAGAACCCTTGAAGAAATGGATCCAGACTCACAGACCCCCTGAAATAAACGGACGCGGTGCCTTGAGGCTGCTCGTCAACTTGCCGCAGTTCCGGTAAGTTTGCCCCTGACCTGACTATTTTTAGGACCAATGGGGAATACCAAAAATGCCTAAATCAGATCAAAACTGGTTTGTGGTGTCAACCCCCTTTAAAAAATGCTCAATGGGGATCATCATCCGAAATATGCTTCAAAAGTTGATTTAAAAAAATTGAAACCAACCAAGATCATTCACATTCTTGAAATTACAGTAACATGATCTTGGGGACGGGCCCCTTTCCTTCATACCACCCTACTGGGGGGTGCATCCCAATTGAGTAAGTTGGTAGTACTCATATTATACCCTAGATATACATGGAATATCCCCAGTGAAATACGGATTACAAACCACTTACTAACTGAGATGCACATTCAAGTAGTGATTCACGTATTCATTAGCTCCACTTGGTCGGTCAGGAATCTTTTCGTCCTGGGAATCACATGGCGATTTGAAACAACCAAGATGGGTGTGTCTCAAAATGCGGTATACACCGAAATAGCCATCTAAACTCTAAAAGGGGAAGATTCTGGAAAATTACATAAGGTTATGAAAAACTGAAAACCAGTGGATTTTAGGCTAATGTGAATGTGGTGTAATGATATGGAATGTAGCCCAATAATCCCTAGTATAGACACTTTGGTTCCAAGAACCTTGTGCATTTCTGTGGCGAAAAGCTGCCACCAGGTACCAATCTCTGCCACCGTCCGCCTGCTAAGATTAGCTGATGTATCTCCTTGAAGTTGTTGAAGCACCTGAGGAACTTGGTGTTCTTCTCGTTTCATGAGGCTGCAAAACTATGAAGAGCCACGCAAATGGAGAGCATCCAAAAATACAGTGGAAAAAAACTTCCAGAAATCTGAGTGAAAAGTACTCGGTTCAATGGGTTCTATGGTGTACGGTACTACGTTTGTTCCATTTTTTTTTATGAGTATATATATATATACATATATATATATACATATATAAATATAATGTGTATATACACACATATTTATAATATTTTATAATATACTAATACATATATATATACAGAGAGAGAGAGAGTGGAAAATTGACTTCCTGGTTCTCCAAGGGCAACCAGGAACCGTGGGTAACCAATGTGACCATGCGCCCTGCCGACCAGTCACGTGTTGCACTTGCTAAAGCGCTGCTCTCGAGCAGGGTCCAACTGCCGCCTGACCATACGAAACCAACCACCACCCATCCGATCCCAACGGTATGTTTATGGATCCATGATGATCCATGATATGTTTATGTATGGTTACTTTTTTACATGGATTGTACAGATCATTGATGCAAAAATCTAGTCGGAACTTCACCAACAAGTGCTGGTGTATCTAGCACGATTTCCCATACCAATGCCACATGAAGCAAGTCATGAGTCCCCGAGCGTTGGGAGACAGTGGAAGCTTTGCTATGGGAGTCTTCCAACCCTAACCGATATTTCAGAATATATATATATATTATTACTATTATCATTATTATTATTATCATTATTATTATTGTGATATATATATATAGTATAATATAATCATAGTATATGATACATATAGTATATGAAAAATATAGTATATGATAAACACAGTATATGATAAATATATTCTGTAAAATTAAAAAATCTATATTATAATTATTCTATTTTAAAACTCTTGCTATATAAATTATTAAATATATTATTATCACTATTGTTATTATTTTAAAAAATGTTGTTATTGATGAATATTTGCTATTTCTTTTCTTTGATTACTATATATATATAATTATATATATATTTATATATTTATTTATTTATTTATTTATTTATTGTTTTTGTTATTGTTATAATACTACTACTATTATTTTTTATATTATTATATATATTCATATGTATAATATTGCTATTTTTTTATTTTTATTATTCCCCAAACAGTGTGGCCACATTGAGGAGTTCTTGCGGCAACAGTTAAGGCCCGGTGTTCAATCGAGTTGGTATCGGAAGCGTACGGCATTTTCCCTGTAAATTTCCGCGCAAAATGCCTCTTGTGACATGTCCATATCGACTGCGCAGGCTCGCACAAAATGCTTGCCGCGGGATACGCGTACGGCATTTTCCCCTAAATTTCCGCGCACGATGCCTCTTGTGACATGTCCATGTGCTTTTCGACTGCGCAGGCTCGCACAAGGTGTGCTTCCCGGTTTTGGGATCGGTCTTCCTCCTCAACATTATCCTCCTCAACATAATCATCATCTTCCTCCTCCTCCTCAACATCCACATCATAATATTCTCATCATCGTCTCATCGTCTCATCGTCTCATCGTCTCATCGTCTCATCGTCTCATCATCTCATCGTCTCATCGTCTCATCGTCTCATCGTCCCATCGTCTCATCGTCTCATCGTCTCATCATCATCATCATCATCATCATCATCATCAACAACAACATCACCATCACCATCATCATCAACAACATCATCATCATCATCATCCTCATCCTCATCCTCATCCTCCTCTTCATCATCATCATCATCAACAACAACAACATCACCATCACAATCATTATCATCATCATCACCACCATCATTATCATCATCATCCTCATCATCGTCATCATGATCATCATCATCATGATCATCATCATCATCATCATCGACATCACCATCATCTTCAACATCATCATCGACAGTAACATCATCATCGACATGATAATACGTTCTCCTTTTACTCCCCCCCCACACTGTTTGGGGTCTCTTGCCGGGATAATATATGTATATATATATATATATGTGTTTATTCATTTATTTATGTATGTATTTGTTTATTTATTTATTATTGTCACCATTATTATTATTACTATTATTATGCTTTATTATTTATTATTTATTCTGTTTGTTAATATTATATATATATTAGTTAGGCAATGTTACCAATGTTGCTGCTGAATAGCCACAATGTGCCACAATCATCAATCAACAGTGTTGCCCACGGAAAGGGATATAACAAACCTGATTGTGAGGATCCGCCTGCAATAGTATGGCCAAATCTTCACCAAACAGGACCATCATTCCAGGTAGGATGAATTTGCCAAACCAAAAAATCTGAGAGATTTCTTGGTTCATTTTTGTTCTACGTTTTGTTGTTGATACCCCCTATACCCCATTTTTGCTGGCGAATATCACCATTTGGTGGTGGTGACACCAGCACCAGGAGCCCCGGGCTCAGGGATCTTGGAGCAGATCTCACGCGTCCTGGGCGCCCCCGAAAATGCGGTGAACCCAACAATAGATAGCAAGCCTTAAAACAGTAGCCTGGTTAATGCTGGTTGGTGGTTTCAACCCTCTGTAAAATATGAAAGTCAGTTGGGATTATTGTTCCCAACTGAATGGAAAAATAAAAACATGTTCCAAACCACCAACCAGAATGTGGTTAAAACATGTTAAAACAATGCCATAAATCACCCGTTTGGGAATGGTAAACATACCACCTATAAACATGATGACTGGGGGATGGTTTATTGTTGGTGGTTAGTAACAAGCCCTTCTTGGAGGGGTCACCGTGTCACCGTGTCAGGGGGTGTGGAATCCCTGTGAAATCTATGAAGATAGGCCCCAGCAAGAGTAGGAATTTTACGAAGATTGGCTTGTAGTAGTTCGTGTCTACACACAAGCAAAACACCCTAAACGTCCCTAAGCTACGAATTTGAAGAATGACAAATATGTTGTGTGTATTGAACCAGCAGAAACAGCATGTAATCTTCAACTTTGCAGCACAACATTAGACTTCCACAAACATAGTGATCAATCAAGGGCTGTCAATAAATGCCAAGAACGGGACAGCCAAGGACCAGTTGGGGACAGAGGCTTGAGAATCCCAAACACCAACCAATCAATGACCCCCAATATGTTTTCTTCGAAGTCCCGGCAATGTTAAAAGGAACTCATCTGGTCTCAATCCTGATTCCTTTCCGATCCAAATGGTAAACTCTTGAATATATCTGAATATATCTGAATATATCTGAATATATCTGAATATATCTGAATATCTCGTTGCCAACTGGAATTTTTCTCCACCCTATGTCCCATAAATGAGCATCATTCTGAGTTTCCTGGCTGTACCGCCAAGGCTAGGTAGGTAAGAACTTCCACAAGAAGTCCAACGTACAACAATTGCAAATGGCTATGGTCTGGAAATCCTGGTGGTTTTCACATCAAACTAGCCGGTGATTCATGGATGTGCATTCCCGCCGGAAAACAAAGAACCAACCCATCCCCAAATTTCCAAGATGTTTCACCTGGGCAAATGGTCAACTGATTCCTAATTTGGAAATTGACATTTTTTGTGATGATTTCCCTTACTAATCATCATGTATGTTGAGGTCGTTGGTTGCCGGTCACTCTCATTTATCCAGCTTTTTTTTTCAGAGCCATTAAAACTACACCCATCCCATGGCATCCCATGGCCATCCCAGGGCATCCGATGGGCCCCCGAACTCAGAGATGAGGCCTCCGAAGTCCATGAGCAGCAGCTCAGTGAACTCCAGAGCTGTTGCCTCAAAAACCGAGGTTTCTCGGCTAAGAAAGGGGCAATATGAATGAAATATGATATGAAATATGAGTTTCTTTGAGACTAACATAGTTTCTTTGAACATAGTTTATTTTTGGTCGGCATCTCTTAAATAGAAATATGTTCATGCAGTATTGGCATGTATTGGCTATAAAAACGCCATGACAGGGAGATGTTGCGAAATTCAGAGATTCATGACCCAAAGGTTGGACGAACTCATACGAAGTAATACGCAAGAACAAAATGCAACGATTCTTCGCCCTTAAATTTTGACTTGCAGCTACCCTCTGGCAATCTAACATAGCTATTGAAAATGGCCATTTACAGTGGATTTTCCCATTGAAAATGGTGATTTTCCATAGTTATGTTAGTTTACCAGAGGGTGCTTGCATTCACTTGCAGCCACTTCTTCCGCCATGACTTCCACGCTGGTTCTTCGGCAACCTCCAATGGATTTTGAGGATTTTGTCACCGCCATCAGATCAATAGATTTATATCTTCCGGTACTCAGTGAACCATGGCTGGAAAATCTCCATGAAAATCCCCCAGCTGTAGTGAAAAAGATTGAAAAAGGATTTTCCCATTGAAAAAATGTTGAAGACCTCCATTTACTTCGAACATGTCCAATAAATCTGGGTAAATTATAATAATTCACTAACCTGAAATAAGATGAAATAAGGCCATTTGGGGATGATTTCCCTTACTAACCATGATTCCAGTGAGGGAGAACAGTGAGGTCGTGATCAAATTTACCCAGATAAATGTATAGATTCTTTTGGACGACGGCCACCAGATATCACCAGATCAACCCCTGGGGAAACTGACAACAAAATCCTCGTACTTGCTGGTGACTAAAAGTTCCTGTCGCGACATGGACAGGGTCACTAAGGCCGCCTAAACTGGTTGGTTGGTTACTTTTAAGGGGAAGGCAATGATTTTGGACCCCAGTGACTGGAGAAACACCTAATAAGATCGAATAACTATATTCAATAGGGCTTCAAACTACTCGGTGCACGACCCTCAGACAGCTATGGCACGAACTGCATTCTGCCTTCTTGAAAATGTTCGTGGCGCTGTTGCGCCGCATCGATTTTGATATTTCTGTTGACAAAATTTGGGTTTTGAAATTTCCATCTGCGTGACACTTTCATGTTTTTCTTCCATGACCTTAGAGACTGTGCCAAGAATGCACTTGGTTTACATGGCCCCAGCAGCTTTCGCCACATGAACTGTTGAACCAATTTCTTCAGTTCGGGATGTTCTATCACTTGTCGGTTGCAGCCAAGACGTCTGGGAAAGCTGCGTGGAATGAATTGTTTCAGGGACAGCCATCCACGGTCAGCAATCTGTGAGCCGGCTACTTTAGAAATGCCGTGGCTTTTACCTTTGTGAATCTTCTGTGGCCATTCTTTAGTTTGATGACACACTTTTGCATGCGGTATTCCTAAGGATTTGGCATGATTTGGCATGCGATTCCCAGCTGCAGAGCACACGCACAAGTAAAGGCCAATAGCGTAGCATGTGACAAGTCGGGAAGTTTACATGAAATCATGAACAAGGTCAAGAAAGCTAGAAAAGGACACGGCCAACTAGGGGTCGTGGTCCAACTCCTCACAAGGGAGAGTTCTTGAGTGGCTCGTAATCCCATTTCCAACTGCTCAGGGCCCGATTGGAAATCTACAATGAAGCCGGTATGTCTGGATGGTTCCAGAAGAGTTTTAACACCCCAATGCATGCGTATATGTTGGTATAGGTCAAAGTCGAAGACGATGGAATCCTCAGATTTTGGTAATGTTGATATCCAGCTTCCCCAATTTGGGGATGCAGTTTCCTCAATGCCTCAGTTGATGACGGGTACCCAGTGCCATCAGTGCCATTCCCATCACCAAACGCGTTTCGCTCCTTCAGCAAGGGAAGAAAGGCGGAACACGCCTGGCGATTGTCAGTGCTCGGTACCATCTTGGGGGATCTTCGTCTAAAGGGGTGAGTGGTTGGTTCCCCACGATATAAACTCGTGACAAATTTGGGGATTCAAAAATCACTTGGCACTTGGGAAACTGTCACAATTGTCTCATTTTTGATCGTCAGAATCACAGGGATGTGTTGGAGGTTGGATATTTAAAGATCCAGGATCTCTTGTATCCGCGCAAAGGTCAAACATGTGTCCAGGAAGCTCACCATACTCGGATTTACTATTTGCCGAGTAGGGGCCATCAAAATGGAGAAAAAAACATCCCAGTAGAGGAACATGAATAGTTTAGAATGATAGTGATATAATAATAATAATAATATATATATATATCATTCTACAAAGAAAACTATGGAAAATATGATGGAATTCTAATCATCTTCAGCTCCAGTAGCAGCAGCAGTTTCTTGGGTTTTTAACCAACCAATCGGCTACCGCCGTGACCACCTGACGGAGTGGATTCTAAGACATGACAACCAGGGTACGAGTCCAGTAACCATTGATATGTTTCGGGTTTGGTTTTGGGGGTTCCCAGCCCCAACATCATCCTACTTATTTCTCATGTAAACTAGTTGTAATGCCATCGAAAAATATATGATGTGCAGTGATAATGTAGATTGTAATCTGGATTGTCGATGTAATTCATAGAGTTACAAATCTACAATCTACATCTAAATTTAAGTCATGATTTGAGGCTATCCCCATGAAAGCCACAGCGTTTTTCGTGCGCCCAGTGGCGTCTAAGTTGAGATCCGAAGCCAAGTCCTTCCTGGCAACGAAAAGGGCTGTGGGAAAGCCATGGCGGCCATAAAGCTATCATGACTGGGGATGTTTTATAGATGTTTATATCATAAAAATATATAAATATGCTGCGCTGATTACAAATGATTACATCCAGGGACCAGGTAGATTAACATTGCACAACATTGCTATATGAATTCTATTCACTTCTTCTATTTCTGTGGTTTCTTCACCAAGCTACAAGAGGCTTTTGATCCCAAGCTTCAGTCTCTGCCGAGTCACAACATCAAGGAGCGAGCTAAATCACACAGCACTGCCTGGTCCTGGCACTTGAGATGGCTCGACTACGGCATAAGGATGAGCCAATTAAGGACACATATGACCAGTTAATTATGCTCTTAAGATGAACCACCATTTTTTCAGAATAAACGGCAGCTAAGTGTCCTGAAAATGACCCAATTTCGTCATGGCGAATCGATGGCGTCATCAAGGGGTCCCCTTGATGTTGCGCGACGTAGTCATTGTGATGGGTTTCATGTCCCTATGGACCACATGGTTCAGCAGATATCGAGCAAACTGACATGTTCTGATGATGTCTGGTGATATCTGATCATGTTCTGATGATGTCCGATGATATTTGATCATGTCTGATGATGTCTGATGATATCTGATCATGTCTGATGATGTCCGATGATATCTGATCATGTCTGATGATGTCTGATGATATCTGATCATGTCTGATGATGTCTGATGATATCTGATCATGTTCTGATGATGTCCGATGATATCTGATCATGTCTGATGATGTCTGATGATATCTATCCTGTCTGATGATGTCTGATGATATCTGATCATGTCTGATGATGTCTGATGATATCTGATCATGTCTGATGATGTCTGATGATATCTGATCATGTTCTGATGATATCTGATGATATCTGATCATGTCTGATGATGTCTGATGATATCTGATCATGTCTGATGATGTCCGATAATATCGATCATGTCTGATGATGTCTGATGATATCTGATCATGTCTGATGATGTCCGATGATATCTGATCATGTTCTGATGATGTCCGATATCTATCATGTCTGATGATGTCTGGTGATATCTGATCATGCCTGATGATGTCCGATGATATTTGATCATGTCTGATGATGTCCGATGATATCTGTCATGTCTGATGATGTCTGGTGATATCTGATCATGTCTGATGATGTCCGATGATATTTGATCATGTCTGATGATATCTGATCATGTCTGATGATGTCCGATGATATTTGATCATGTCTGATGATGTCCGATGATATCTGAACATGTCTGATGATGTCCGATGATATCTGATCATGTTTGATGATGTCTGATGATATCTGATCATGTCTGATGATGTCCGATGATATCTGATCATGTTTCATGATGTCCGATGATATCTGATCATGTCTGATGATGTCCGATGATATCTGATCATGTCTGATGATGTCCGATGATATCTGATCATGTCTGATGATGTCTGATGATATCTGATCATGTCTGATGATGTCCGATGATATCTGATCATGTCTGATGATATCTGATGATATCTGATCATGTCTGATGATGTCTGGTGATATCTGATCATGTCTGATGATGTCCGATGATATCTGATCATGTCTGATGATGTCTGGTGATATCTGATCATGTCTGATGATGTCTGATGATATCTGATCATGTCTGATGATATCTGATGATATCTGGCCATGTCTGATGATGTCCGACGATATCTGATAATGTCTGATGATGTCTGATGATATCTGATCATGTCTGATGATTTCTGATGATAATACTCTGCCTGGACCGGCCAAAGTACAGAAAATTCTGTACGATTGAAATTTCTGCACTTTTGGGCCGATTGAAACGTTTAATCTTAAATGTAAACGCTTTCAACAAAAAGTGAACTCTTTACAGCAGTTCTGACTGCCACCTTTGGTGTGGCACGGGTTGTGAAAAAAATATTTGCCGCAATGGGTCCCTCACAATTCAGCCATTGGAATTGCTGGTGATATAATGCCAGTGCTTCCCCAAATTTGCAGCAGTTAAGAAATCCCGATTTGCGTACTTTTGCGTCGGCATGTTTGTTGAATTCAAAGCAGTTTTGGAATTTCCTGGGGACATTTCTTGCGCAAAACATGGGCCTTCTGAGGTTTTTTTTTTAATTCAGGAAAAATTCAGTTTGCTTCAACGTCTATTACTTTGAGCGCCTTAGTTGCTTGTCATGTTCTTCACCAAACTTCACCATCAGGCAGGTTTGTTTTTTCTTACCTTTCGTTCAGCAGGTCCACTTTGTTTGTCAACATGCAGAAACTCCCATCTAGCATGCCAAGATACGTCAAGTCAGCTTCATTCTGGCAATTTAACCTTGTTCAAGTGTGTTTCTGAACGATTGGTCCAATTTGAACTATTTGCGGCATTTGCGGCTTTTTGCGGTCATTTGCGGCCAAAAGCCCAAAAGTACAGAAATTATTGAACTTTGGAAGGTCTAGGTGCACCAAATTTTGGCCCATGACCACAAGGCCATTATCAGCTATAGAAGTACTGAATAGTATAGGCCCAGATATTTACCCTCTGAGCATCCTAGTCACACAGGCCTACGAACCTCCTATTTTTACTTAAAATGAATTAAAATGAATCATCTTAGTCTTTGTACTGTAGTGGAAATATGTGGATATGATTCGGATATGACCGTTCGAGTATGATTGGGTTTGCATCCGTTCACTTCGCAATCACGGGGTTGTTCCCAACACCCCAGGTACTTTACCCTGCTTGCGGATATCACGCACATAAAAAATGGCTGGAGCAAATCGACCGATATAATCATGACATGAAATTTCTTTCAGATGGTCTCATTCTATAGCCCCATTATATCCCGATTATATCTAAAACAAACACAAGCCATATTGTCTTTGAGATGTTCAAGTTGGTGACTGTCTGGTGACATATCTGCATGATATCCCCAAGGTGTATCCAATTTAGATGGTCATATAATATGGTTAAACATTGGTGATATGGGAGTTTCCACTAAAATGGGGGTACACCCAATAGCTGGATTGTTTATAACAGGGGTTGGGAATATTGGACATCACCTTATAGTAGCCATTATAGACCATATACCTAATGGTTGGGT